CTTATAATAGTACCAGGTTGCGAACTTTCGCTTTTTTTTTTCGATTCCGCGGTTATCTATTTCACTGAAACTTGTTACTCCGTAAATCTTCTTTAGATTATCTACAAAATGTCGTATGACACGCCTATTTTTGTTGTAGGAATCATTCGTAGCAGGCCTTTCAAGTAGGTCAACCGTAAATTTATTTCGTCTTCTCACAGTGAAATGGCAATGTTCACATCGCAGTGAATGATTAATTGTAAAAAGTATTTGAATTTTCCCTAAAACCTGTTAGTTTTTCTATGAATATAACTTATTATTCATATAGAAGCAAAAAATTACAGGCCAATCTCACTGACCTGTGCACCTTGCAAGCTGTTGGAACACATAATCTACAAACACATTCTAAAACACATCATAAAGCAAAAAATACTGACAAATTAAAATCATGGATTCAGATCAGGTTATTTCAGAATAATATGGCTGTACTAGACTTTTCAAAGGCATTGGATATCGTGCCTCACGACAAACTCAAGGCAAAGCTAAACAGCTATGAAATAGGTGGAAATCTGAATACATGGTAAGCGTAATTCCTGCAAAAACAATCTATTATATATATGCGGGTTGCTGTATAAGGTGAGCATTCGGGGTATGCCCATGTAGACTCTGGCGTACCACAAGGCACATTATTAGGACGACTGCTCTTCCTCTGCCACATCAACGACCTACCGGAATGTGTAAAATCCCAAGTTCGACTATTTGCAGACGACTACCTACTTTATCGAGAAATTAACACCTCGAAAGACCACCAAATCTCCAAGAAGATCTGAAAGCTCTGGATGTATGGGCATCAAAATGGAGAATGATATTCAACGCAAAAAAATGTTACATAATGAACGTCAAACAAAAATCAACACAATTCTATTATAATTATTAATATCCTTGGTTCTGCAATGCGCAGATGTAGCGTGATCGACATCTAGCAAATAATTCCACTCTAACCGGTGATAAGGGGCGTTTTGAACTTGCAGTGCAATGACAATGTATCTGTGATGAATAACAGCATTGAAAGTGAAGTTCCTTTGCTTTTAGGTACGTTTTTTTCATGTGCGTGAAGTGATTTGTGTCAAAAATTGATTTACATTTTTTTATTCCAACAAATGCTTTGAATAAAACATTTGTTTAGAAATGACTAAATGTTATTATTCGCATGTGTGGATGTTTATATTGGCTGCTGCACAGCAACGATGATTCTTTGATCTAAACATTTTTATCATTTGGCAAATTATCTTGACATAATTAGAATTGTTTTAGAGGAAATGCAGGTAAAATTCAATTGATTTCCTAATCAAATTGCTAGGTTATGGATACAAAAAAATCCGAATTATTTATCCATTGTCTGAAGAAATTTGTCTTGCACTAACCAAAGGGGATGTACGTAGACCTTAGAGGGTAAAGTTTCAAAATTATGTTTAATTTCCTTCTCTACTGATTATTATGGTAATCTTATTCATAAAACACTGAATATTTTGTTCCTTTGAACTTCCTAAATATACTAGTACTTTTGAAATATAGTCGGAACCTAATCGACCAGTCAGGCAAGATGTTTATGTAACATTTATTTTTCAAAATGGTAATCATTAAAATTGAAAGTAATAAAATATAAGAAATGAAGATGCTCACAACCTATAATTGGCATTTCTACAAAAATATAATGTGTAATGGTCCACAAATATAGATGAACATCTAACAAACCTCAAACTAAACAAAAAGCTTAATGTGGTGAAAGGGGATGGAGGGAGGGAAAATTTATAAAATCCCAAATAAAAATCTTGTTTACAAATGATTGATCTTCAGACACCAATAGTGTGTAATACATTGTGTATAAAATGACCAATGGTCATCCAGTCAAAAGATCGTAATGCAGGGGTTCCCAAAAGGGCTTAGAAAAATGTAAATTCCGAAACAAATTAATGGTTTCATTCGTTCGCATAAAAAGATTTATTAAAATAACTGGTTGTATATGCTGCTTTAAATTCAATTTCAAAAGATTTTATCAATATTTATTTTAATTTAAGTTTGGTCTTAAGAGTCTAGGCATGATGAAACCAACTACCATATACAAAGACTACTATTGAGTTCCATAGCAAATATTCACAATTTAAACAGTGTATAATATTGGATAAAAGACACAAAGCTCTTAATTTATTCATTGCATTTTCGGTATCATTATTAAAATTTGTCACTAATATTCTGAAGTTTTGACACTTTTTTCTTGCATTAAATTCATATTTCAAAGATTCGATCAAATTATATTTTTATTTAAATCCTATAAATTTTAGTTTGGTCTTGGTAGTCTAGGCGTGAAAAAATCAAATATGCAACATATTTGCAGAACTACATCAGTTGTGGTAAGTTTCAAGTTTTTCTCCGGAGAGTTGTCCTTCATAGTTAATGTTTTGTGAATTCCTGAATTATCTTTATTACCATTTCAATATAAATCAGTGTCCACATTCGTCCATCAGACAACACAAGTTTGTGTCCACACATGTGTGTATATATATAGATATATACAAGTCTAAATTGAAAACAACGTTCAAACCTAAGATTGCGTTGGATAAAAACCGCAATTTTTATACGTGTGCATGCAAAACCAAATTTCTTGTTAGAGGGGTCTAAATACAGCACAAACAACATTTTCCTAAAGATCAAAAAAGTGAAAAAGTATATTTTAACAAAACGTATTTGACTAACAGGTCGAACAACAAATGTTCTTTAACCCTGCTGACTGCCATTGGCGATTGCCAAATAAACGGATCACCGATGTAATAAATGGATCTTAATTATAAATTTAATACTAAACAGAAAACAATAAACTTGCGGAAAAAATGGTATACCGCAAACAAAAATATACATATAGTCTGAAATTATTAAGAATCTTTTTTAGTCAGTTGTATTAGTCATGATATTTATATGCTTCACTAAAGGATCCATTCGTTACAATATTAAATTTAAGATAATTGAAATAGATTACCGTCGTCGAAGGAATGGAAACCTTAACCAAATAATAAACCTGTAAATAGCTCAAGTATTTTAAAATCACTTGTTTTTATCATAATTCGTTGACCACAGGGGAATTTCTACTTCTATTATCTAGATTGAAAGCTCACAACAAGCGATGTAAGTACACACTGGCATGATTTTTAAATACAAAGTATCAGTATAGTCAATCAACTTTCTTTATTAATTATCATTTTGCATTCAGAGTTATAACTTGTGTACCTTCTAAAGACCTCACCGATTTCATACGCAGTCTGTATGAAAAAATAAATATTCAAATAAGTATCTATATGACTTTTTATCAATGCATGCATTCAACTGTACCTGTTTTTTGATATCATGGTATTAGCTTTTGTATGTCGGTTAAAAGCTCAATGGAGCTAATGTTCTGTCCTTGTTTGTATACTATGCCGACTGTAAACAAAGCTTATTTATTATTTATTATTTGTATGATACAGGAGGCATCACACCAAAAAACTGAGTTTGCCTTTTGTGCATTAGTGGATCATACCTTTTTGTGTGTGATGAACGCACATTTTAACAATATAAATAGGACGAAACTCACAATTGTGCCAAACAGACGATGAATCTATTTATTGTATTTTGGTATCATGTTCTTAGGCATTAAACCAATAAAGACTTTATACGTTCTATTAAGGAGCCCTAGGGCCGCTTGCAATATGTTGAGTGGCAAGGATGAGCTTCTAGCATATGCCAGTTTTTAATGTTTCATAATATATGATAAGAAAGCAACACATTATTGAGTATGCTGTTATACGTACTCACAGCTTATAAGATGCTGGTGATGTTAAATGACATGTATGTTTTAAGTAACTTCATGAAAACGGCACTTTTGAACAGCTCAAATTGACCATACCAGATCATTGATAAGTTTAATCAGTTCTTCCAACTAAAATCAATCTTTTCATCTATTTTGTTGAAAAAATACAATAATGTTTACCTATTCAAAGACTACTCAAAAGTTTATATGAAAGAGATGGTAAATCTCGTATCTATGCTGCCCCCCACCCCCACTACAAATAAATCGAAAAATAACGCCGTACTCCACTTCTCAACCGTAAAATGAAATACGTTGCAAATAAAAGAAAAACGCATCAATGAATAGAAACATTTAGCATTATTTATATTATAGCTTTTCAATACCAAAAAATGACGGACACACGAGAGAAGAAAAAGTTATTGGTGCTTTTAATTGATGGTTTTCGTTGGGATTACTTTGATATACCTGGCCTAGAGCTTCCAGGATTCAAACAACTGTTTCAACAAGGAATAAAAGCAGATTATATGGTTAATGATTTCCCCTCATTGTCATATCCAAATTATTACTCATTAATGACAGGTACAAATTAATATATAAATTACTCTTTATAACAGAAATGTGTTTTTATTTACCACCGTTTACAAGCTTCCGCCAGAAGCTCATTATATTCAAAGCATATAAAAATCTATTAGACTTTATTTATTAGAACTGCTAAAACGGAATTAAACAAGTACACCAATGGAATAATCATCTCCTGCCAATAACAACCATATTTCCGCCGATGATATTGGAAGGAATATAACAGTTAGATATAAATCCTGCACATTTAAGACTGATAGATTCGGTACACTTACTGATACGTAAAAGCTTCATCTACTAACACAACTTATTAGATACATTTTCTACTTTAACCGAAATTAGCATCGTGACATTTGTATTTTTCTAGTCTTTTTCCTGTTGACGGTCTTCTTACTTGTATTTATACTGTGGTGCTGGATTAAGATTTCTAATAAATGGAATATTTGATATATTTATGATCACTTTCTTTACTGTTGTAATGAGCCATATGCAGGACAGATACACGTAAATTTTTGTCCTTGTAAAATGATTGATCTTAATAATTTACTTCATCCTATATTTCTATATCTTATGACATTGAATTGTCTTTTATAAGGGCTACATGTAGAAAATCATGGATTTGTTGGTAATTTTATGTGGAATGCAGAACGGGGAAATAGCTTTGAAATGAAGATGGAAACCGCTGAATCGAAATATTCACACTGGTTTGAAGGTGCTGAACCACTATGGATTACTGCAGTAAAACAGGTGATTTTATAAAATTATGCAAGAACATGAAATTTTTATTGTGTAAAGCTTACGGTCTCACGGCAAGAACATGATGTCTCATTAATTGTTGTAACGTAGACGGTCTCAATGCAATAACATGAGGTATCATTCTTGTAAAGTTTAAGGGTCACAATGCTGTTACATGAGGTCTCATTGTTGAAAAGCTTACGGTCCCAATGCAATAACATGAGTTCTCATTGTTGAAAAGCTTACGGTCTCAATGCAAGAACATGAGGCATCATTGTTGTAAGTTTGCGTTCTCAATGCAAGAACATGAGGCATAACTGTTGGCAAGCTTACGACCACGGTTTCTATGCAAGAACATGAAGTATCATTGTTGGCAAGCTTACGGTCTCAATGCAAGAACATGATGTATCATTGTTGTAAAGCGTACGGTCTCAATGCAAGAACATGATGTATCATTGTTGTAAATCTTCCGGTCTCAATGCAAGAACATGATGTATCATTGTTGTAAAGCTTACGGTCTCAATGCAAGAACATGATATATCATTGTTGTCAAGCGTACAAGATCAACAGCCTGACTTAAATAGTAAGGATATACTAATCCAGATAAACAGAAGACCCCACTATGAGAATGTATTGTTCAAGTACTTTCATGCAATGTTAAAAAGATATGTATACAGTTGGGAAACAGACTCAGAAGTATGCTAAAAATCAATATTTATACAAACCATATACTTAAGAATGGCCATGTTATCAAGACTAAACAAAGAGATTTGACAAACAGCACAGGAAATACATTTAAAAAGTCGGATATGGACTGAAAAGCTCCGGAAACATAACCAGGTTTAATTTTGTTCCAAACAATGTATCATGTAAATGGATAAGGCGAATACGGATATTTGACGAGTTAGATAATAAATTAAAGATGCAAGGAATTCAAGTGACGCAATATATTAACTCTGATATACATATTATATTTAGGAAAAGAGAACACATATGTTTGAGTGGCCTGGCGGACATATTCCAAACAATGGAACGACATCTACATTTTACGATGAAATGGGCGTTGATGATTGGCCAATGATTTCCCATATGATGAAGAATTTAAAGAAAGCTTTCAACCTATTCAAAACTGATAAGATAGACATGGCAGGTACGTAACTTCTTGCCAGTATGTTAAGTACTACCACGAATTATTTGATATGGTTTGATTGTGAAATTTCTGTTCATAAATTTAATATAAAACTAGACCGAAGATGCAGCTTCTTCAGACAAAGCTCACCATTGAGAGTTTTAACTGATTTGTTAATGTCCTTTCAGTTTTAGGTATATATATAGCTTCCAAAATACTTTTGTTTGTATTGTTTCTTACGAAGATTATTCCAGAAACATGTGTCATGTGCACTATAGTATTTTACTGGGTGGTTTATTAACTAAATACCCGGTTTTTCCCGGTTATATATTTATTATGTTTTGACTTAATATTTTGATAATTTGATAATTTCAAAATGCTAATTTGCCGTTGTTAATAAGTCTTACTCTACCTAACTGTACCTTCTTTCCTAGGCTTAATGCAAGCATGTTTGTCTCTTCCTTCCAGTTTAACATATTGCTTAAATTGCATGATACATTTGCTACCAGGAGTTAAACAACAACAAAAAAAAAACATGAACTTGGTCCATTTCTTTCTTTTTATTATTTGAAAAGAGACGATGTCGTGAATGTGAAACATTAAGAGATCACGAATTCTCTTTTCAGGTGTATTCGTGGATGTAGTAGATGATGGGGGACACAGTTATGGTCCTAACTCTAACGAGTTAAAAGACATTATCAGACAAACAGACGACGCTATCAAACAAATGTTAGACATGATAGTACAGGAAGGTTTGGAGAACAAAGTTAATATAGTTATATTTTCTGACCATGGAATGACCGAAATTTCGGAGTCTCGAACGATAGATATATCAGATCATATTGGCAGCCCGGATGTAGAAGTGGTCAGGGATAAAGGTGCTGTATGTAGCATATGGCCAAGAGAAGGAAAATTAGAAAAAGTAACAACTTATCTTTTACTTATAAATCAAAGGCTAATACATTTATTTTGTCAAAAGGAACAGAACCAAAAATCCTAGGAAATAACTAATTAATAACTGACACCAAACTCCAAAGAATACCGTTTTTATGCCCTTTGACGGAATAATTTCATGCAAAGTCTACTGAAAAATTGATACATACTAATGAATAATTTGATTTATTCATAAGTCAAATGTTTTTATTAAAAAAAGGATCATATCCATCCATATTTATATTGATTGATCCCTTACCAAGTCAGGAACCTCTTAGAGTAGTTGTCTTTTGTCATATCTTAATGTTTTCTGCTATTTAGAAGATTTTATGTTAAAGTAGAAGATTTGAGAAGTTTCTGTTTAATTATTTTTCGATTCTGGGTGATTTAGATTTTTACATATATATCTATCTATTGTTGACCTCTAAATGTGTTTTGATTATTTTGTCTCTGGTTGATGTCGCATTGACGTATATCCCACACATATTTTTTTTTAAATATTATTAATTTTCAGTCAGCATTTTTGTTATTGATAAAGATAAGACTCTTAAACAATACACTGGAACTAAAACTGAAAACAACATATACGCGAAGGCTTTCAAAACTGATTAGGCTCCTCCACCGTAGAGATCTTACTCGATCCGATTTATAGCAGTTAATTAAACATATTTCAAGAGACAAATCTGACAACCAACATAAAAGTCGTTCATATAACATGAAAAGAGTCTAACTGACAATGCTTCCGACTTGATTTATCCCGATTAATTCATTAATGTTTAGTTTTTCTAGAACCAGAGTGTACTGGCATTTTACAAATAGAAGCATTGTTGAATGGTTTTATCACAAGATCTACTAGATTTCTGTGAGGGACAACCTACCTCTGATGAAGTGTGTCTATTTTTTTCTATCCTTAGTCTGTATTTTTTTCTCTCTTTGTTTTGCTTCTACACCGATTTTCGTTTTCAGTATAATATCAATTTTGAAAATCTGTTTTCCTGATATTTGATTTTCAAATCTGTTTATTTTTCAGGTGTATTCTAATCTCCAGCAAATGAACAACAAGCATATAACAGTGTACAAAAAGGAAAATTTACCAGAAAGATGGCATTATAAACATAATCAATTAGTAGCACCCATCATTGTTGTAGCAGAGCTTGGTTGGTACATTTTAACTGTGAGTTTCTTGCTACATAGTATATTGAAAATACTTTTTTTAAGATCTAAAATTAAACTCATGCAATTAAACGATAGTCAATGTAATTGCCCAGTCTAGCATTCATTTGTCAATCTAAGTATGTGAGAAGCAAACAGCTGTTCAGGATGACAATGGAGATCTTGGCTTCAATTTTCAGATTTTTTATGATGTTTTATTGTCCCTTTTACATTAGAAAGAAATAACGGCATTACTTGTACAGATCAGCAATTCAAATATGTTCAATAGATTTTTGCAATAATTCAAAGTCCATTGAATTTTAAAGAACACATAGACCATGTTATAAAACTACAGTCTTTTGTAGCCTTCAGGGCAGAGCATAGACAAATATAGAGCCGGGCCTGCAAAAGGACATCATGGATATGATAATGCAGAAAAAGATATGCGTGGTATATTTTTAGCTTTTGGCCCAGGTACGTTAAATGGTTTTGATCTTTTTTAAATTTAATTATTATAGTTTGTAAAGGATATGGGGGGCGAATTTTATATTTCACCATACGTACATCGAGTATAAAGCTGAGGGGCCTGATGGGGGGGTCTCATCACGATTCACGAGTTGATTTTTTTGTCAATCACGATTCACAGAAAATAAATTTCCATGATCACGGATCACGAAAATATAAAAAAAAATAAATCTGTAGAAAAACGGATCACGATAGCGAAAATGCGCCGATCACGAAGAACGAAAATAACCCATCAGGCCCCTCAAAGCTATATTGGATAGTAATACAAATACACATGCAACTATTATTATTATGTTGGAGAATTATCCAGTACTTACGTAATGTTTTAGCTTTTTCTTACTTTTTATCATATATAACATTTGCATCTGAAAGTACTAGTATTTGATTTGTTTTAAATCATTGATTTCGAATTTGCTTACAGAAAAGTATTTGTTTAAATAAAAAAATGTTTGAAGTCGAACTTAAAGGGTTTGCATGCTTCCGATAGTAATAAGATAGCAAAGTCATTTCATATCACCAATGAGCGTCATATCAATTTGACCATAGTGACCATAAACTTTTTTGAAAATAACGACTATACCCGTGAATGATTTTAATATACTAGTAACTGGATAATGTATGTACACATAAGATATGTAAATCACGTCAAATATGGTAAACTTACCTTCGAATTTTAATGCTGTCATTAAATATTCCACTAAGAAAGCAACAATTATATTTTTAGATACACATACATTAATGAAATATTTAGGCAATAAATGTTTGCTATTGTGTTTATAGTTTCCTATCTATTATCTAATGACGAGATCAATTTTATTCTTAACCAAATTTGGCTTTAATTTTTCAAAACTAAGATTGGCAATGTCAACATACACAGTTACATTTAAGTCATCACAATAACATGATAAATAATGTAACTTGTAAAACATTAGGAGCATTACTTTTTGGGGGTGTTTTTTCTTTAGGCATTCTATCCACATTTTACAAAAATGCATGACAACTACTTATACCCAGTATTTATTCAACATTGTTAAGAATTAAGTATTAAATGATTTCATATTATTACTCTCTTTGCAGATTTCAAGAAAAACTTTCAAAATGGGCCTGTTAAAGCAGTAGATATCTATCAAGTAATGTGCAAAGCACTGAAAATACAACCTCTTCCACATAAGGGCAACTGGTCTAGTGTCAAAGATATATTTATTTGAAAATAGTGTTCAACCTTTTTTAGTTTTAATAAATATGTACATATAAGTATTGTGGTGGTGTAATATATTTAGTATTGTTTGCATACAGTGGTGGGCGCTTGTCCATTGTGGAAATCCTTTAGATGACTATTTTGGGTAACTTATGATTATTATCTAGTTGTTCCAACATACAAATCCTCAATTAATATTGTATTTATGCAAATTATCGTTTCATGGATTTCTTTACAACTGAAATTGGAAATTGCAACTTTACACTTATTTTATTTAATCATGAAGAGGTTTTTGCTAATAGAAAATACGACCTTGGTCTTTGGTATTAACATAAAAAAAAGGATGATGCACGTCTCTCTTCATTTAATTGAATCCAAAAAACTTCACAAAGATCTTTATACAGATTGCATAATAGAAGGCTCTTCTAGATTTTTCTCTTATTGCCTTTTTAAGATTCTTACTATCATTCTTTCTACAGTAAAAGATGGCCTCCAGAAATATTGTGTGAGGTATACTCAACCAGCGGTGTCAATATGAATTCTTAAAAAAGAATGATTCCAACATCTTCAACTACAATCTTATCAATTTTGCAACAAGATCAAAGGTTAGGATTTTTCAACACACTGCACTGCTGTTCTTCATCCTAAATTGAAAGATCGCTTACTCATTAAGGTAGGCTTTTTCTACAAATGGGAATCGTAGATACAGATATCTTGTTTTGAGTCACGGAAAATCTTGTTTTTGGAGAAAAACACTTGACAAACAACAAATACACAGAAGACATATAGATATACAATGCTAGACAACTATTTGGTTAAGTTTGATCAAATGGTGCTTATTATAAAGTCGACGAAAATCGTTAATACCATGACAAAAACGAAAGAAAAACGCCAGTCCACAAAACACTACAGGTGCTCCACAACGGTTAGCATATTCTGCTCTACCTGTTTCTCATGGCAATACAATTTTCGGTAACATAAGAAGGGAATAGTGGGTAAGACAATTGGAACAGATCTATGCTCATTTGTGAAACAGATATTCCTTAACAGCCAATCAATTTATGATGGTGTCTGTAAAATTTCAAAGAATGATTTCAGCTTTACCACTAGGATCCGTTGGAATAATAACTTTCGTGTAAGCAGCAACCCTTCATCAAGGAAGTCATTATAGGAAACGCAAGCTCTTAAATATTGTTTCAACATGGAGATGCATGCTTATATACAGGCGCTGATAGAATATTACAACATATAAATGGAAAATCACATTAGGAAAGCTGAAATCATCTCTTCTCGTAAAGTTTAGTTGTCAACCTACCTCATTGTCAATTTCTAGATGTATTATTAAGTGAAGATATGAGAAAAACTGTATATGTGGTCATTTGTTTCGCGTTTAACGCTACTTTAAGTTCTACTGGCTATATTGTGGCGGTCAGTTTTTATTGGTGGAGATGCGACAGTGCCCGGAAAGAACCACCGACCATCGACAGGAAAACTGGCAATCCTATCAAATTCGGATCGATGGGATAGATGCGTTCAACAAAGTCGCAAAACTTTGTATTGCTTAGGAAGCTTAACAGGACATCGTTTAAATACAGCTGAAAATGGCTCAGCTCATCAGATAGATACAAAGCACAAAAACAAATAACTCTAAATAAAAAATATGTTCCATGACCAAATCAGTTCTGTTCTTTCTCTAAAATGGAGCCACTCTTTTTTTTATAAACAATAGTAATGGAACAGTTGTTGAAAACGTGTGGGTAGAGTGTAGAACAATTTATGTTTACGGAATTTTCGGTATAATCATTGAAAATTTCGTTTAGATTTACGCCTTGCAGTGATTCATTAAATGTTTATGTACTGTTTCCTTGTGGGGTTGAACTTAAATGCTTTGGCTTTAAAGAGTGCACGACAAGGGACCGCTAAATGGCAAAGGCCGCGCTTTGTATTCCTTTGCAGATGTATATCGAGTATTTTGTCCAACATTATAAGTTACACAACTACGTTCTGTACTCATTACTGCGGTGCTTTCTGCTGAAGAAATATTTGGAAGACGAAGTAATGTAGAAGACAGGTCAAATGTCATATTTTAAGACTGTAGAACTGGCGCTCGGTAAAGCAACAGTTATAGCTAATGCTTTAGAAAGTTCCGTGATGCGTTTTGTCAGCATCTGTCCCATACGTATCTTATCATCATTATCAACCCGCTGGTTCAAAGAAAGAGATGCTACTGACTTATGTCCAGTAACGGCCATTATCTGTGCATTGCAATATGTTTTTAGCTATAACGGTTGCCCCGGTAGCACCGATAGAATGGATTGTGTAGATTTCAGACAAGTTGCATTTCTTGCTCAAGTATGTCATAAAATTGCCTAGCTATTTTTTGCCCACAGGAATGTTATAATACCATGTAGGGTCTTCTTTCGATCTCTGCCATATTTGTCACACGCCGGAATTAATTTATCTATATACTTTTTAAAGGAGGACACGGGACAATATTCAGAACCGGAATTTTCTGTCATTATTCCTGAAGTTTTTTCTTTGTTACTGCTGCGATGCTTTTTTGTCAGCTCATCCAAAGTTTAGCAACATATTTAAGCCCCGTCTTCGGATTTGTTTTTCACAGAAAACGTCTATTTTGTCATTTGTCATTTGTATATAGTTTCCTTCTGTAATTTTGGTCAATAGAAGGATAATGCTTGACGTCTCCTAAACCCATGCGCTTTAGTTGTACCATTGCCGGTTTGAAATTTTCGCTGCATGCACTAAAACTTTCATTATTCACAATCTCATATTTTTTCTTATTGTACGGTGGAGCCTTTAAATATCTATTCAATGAATATCTCAAGCACTGCAATGGATTTGTTTTATTAATAATGATATCCATCAGCTTTACGCACATCCATATAGAAATGGCCAAACGCTTCACCTAGTTTAAATGTGCCAAAATGTTTGAATCCTAGATTCATTTTCTTTTCTTTTAAATTCTCCCGGAAAATAGTAGCAGCTGCTATATTCTGCTTCATTGTTTTATCTACACTCATTTTCAAACGTTTTTGCTCGATTTCTTCATCAGTTGTAACAACAAATCGTCTTTTGCCAGTCTACATCTTTAAAAAGAATAAGAACGCATCAACAATGCGCTACATGGAACATCAATATATCATTAAGTTACGCGATCAATGGGCGGAGAATACACATTATTACATTGGTAGCAATGAATTACATTGATTTCCCAGTCAAATAAAAACCGATAATTTCACATGTGAAATAAACGTGGTTATTTCACTCTCTGACGTCATACAACAATAGGCGTTGTCAAGACGTCGATAACGTCGGATCAAAACAAATTGTGAATGCGTAGAAAAAAGATATAGTTCCTTACATTTTCTACATTAATTTCATTAAAAAAAGCCATTTGCCAATGTAATAAAAAGAATAACTAATCAAAGAATTCAAATATCGAAAAATATTCAACTCGTGACCGAACAACACTGATAATTAACTCATGCGCTACGCGCATTCGTGAATTAATGTGTTGTTCGGTCACTCGTTGAATATTTTTCTCTATTTGAATTCTTCGATTAGTTATTCTATAATTAAGAGTGAGGGTCAAAATACGCGGTCAGTGAGAGGAGCATACGTGTGTAAATTTGACGTCAGTTTTTGAGAAGTGAATTTTGTCATTTGTATTTTTGGTGTTTTTCAGTTATATATCAAAACCGCACAAAAATGTTATCATGCTTTGACCAAACTAACATGATTATTTAGACAGTGTAGAAAATTGTTGAAAGGTTCGGGCTTTCGCCCTCACCGTTCAACGATTTTGGACATTGTCTAAATAATCATGCTAGTTGGGTCAAATCATGATAACTTATAATGCCTGGTATTTTTATGGGTTTTTCCTGTTCATCCACAAACTATTTTTTACACATTTTGACTTATCTTTAGCATATTTGATGAAACTTGTTTCAGACACAACCTGCCGTTACTACAAAACACTGGTTTTGTATTTGAAGCTATTTCTTTAACATTCATAAAGAAGACCGAATGTATCACTTATTTCAAATAAATAAAATGATAAATTACTAATGTGGCAGGAATTCCATTGAGACATCTATCCATCAGATCATGAGATACCAAAGATCGAGCTATAAGGGACCCCGGCATTACAAAATGTGAAATAATTCAAAGAGAAAACAACCAATATGATTTATACTGAAAAGGAATAAACGAAAAACAAGACAGGTAATATAAAATTGTTATGCTAGATGGATACTTCGATGTAATATGGCCTGAGTTGGATCAATGGAGCTTCAGAGGAAACCTTTTGACGATCAATATTCAAAAGGTTGGCTAGATTTTCTCGCTGTGTTGAAGACCCATTTGTGGCCTTGGGCTGTTTTCTTCTCTTTGGTCGGGTTGTTGTCTCTTTGACACATTCCCCGTTTCCATTCTCAATTTTATTATTTTTTGATTTGTGGAGAAATTCGATTTGTGATTTAGTTTGTCGATTTGAAACTAATCGCATTGTTTTACTACATAATGAAATGTTTGAATAAGAACTACGTTAATAGTTAATAGGTCCATGATCAGAGCTATCTGTTTCTTGGTAACAGATAAATTTTACAAGATCAAGGGGTCAACTTTCGGACGCTTATCAGTTCAAATTTGTACTGAATACCTATGGTAATGTTGTTTAAATTTAAAAATCTCTTTAATTATTTATTTTTATTATTCATTTAGGGGTAATATACTGTTTTGAATGGATATGTTTTACAGTGTGCATATCAGTAAAATACAAGGAATTTTAAATTGACAATAAAGCTATTATTGATATGTAATAAGGAAACCTGTACTTAAATGCACGAGGACATCACGGAAAAATTTGTGAAATTGTGCATGCAGAACTGCATAAAAATATAGTGCAAAATGATACATGTAACTTCCATTCCATGTACAAAAAATACCTAATTATTCTTTTTATAATATTACTTCTACAAATCGTGTCCTGCGAATTCTCTATAAAATGATATGATATTGCTGCTGAAATTTCCGTTTTATTGATGTATAATCTATAGGGGCATTTAAGAACTGAAAGAAATAATCTTGTCTATGGCATGGTGAAAAGAATATTCTGCCTAAAAGATGCATGCAATTATTGTGTACTAAAAATGAAAACAATTCCCCTACTTTCAAATGGTTGTCCTCTTACAACTAATGGGTTAATCGTGGCATTCGGGTGATAATGAGCGTTCGGTTATGCTATAAACTAGCAAAGGAGGACGTTGTTAAATTGTGACTACGACAAACTGAACATGTCATTGGTCATGTGTTACAAAAGTTTGCACTAAAGTTAAATTAAAATCATGATTACGTCATTAATTTTCAAAGTGTTGAATTCGACCTTACCATTATAAGCAGCTACTCTTAAGGAGGCCATGAAACAGGGAGGTATACTGGAGTGGTGGTAAATTATATTTCACGTGCAATCGGATCGATGCAATCAACATAGTCAAAGAACTTAATTTTTCAGCGGGAGATCATCATCTTCACAGAGGAACTTGAAACGAAAGGATAGAGCTGGCTTCCCTTTATTCTTATTAGGAGCCCCTGTATTTTAACTGTTTCATTGGAATAAAGGAAAAAGTCCCCGATATAAGGAGAACAGTTTGAGAATCACATTGCTTATTGAAGCCTCCCAATAAAACAAATATGATGCCAATAAAATATTTTGAAAGTGTTTTCTTCCACAAAAAAACTTGAAAGAAGATTTGTATATTATAAAAAGCTCACCCAATCATTGTGCAAATGACATACAAAAAATATAAATAATGATTTGTAATTTTTCTAATAAACCCAAAGAAGCTGGATAAGCTCTCATTATTGGGTGTAGCATCATAGACTACATAGTACCTTTCTTAACTTTATAAAATGACATTAGTGTATATTTAATAATAGGCATTTATTTCAATTGTAAATGTTGTTAAGATGGGAAAAAAATCAAATAAAAAAAGTTCACATACCTTTATTGCATATAAACGTTAGTATTGATATTATTGAAATATTTTATAATATTTTTTCAAGCTATATGACAGACAAGGCTGCCAGAGCAAGCATGACAAGTCAAATTGATGAGAACAGAAAATTGTTAGTGCTTTTAATAGATGGATTTCGGTGGGATTACTTTGATATACCTGGCTTACAACTTCCAGGATTTTCTCGGCTGTTTGAACAAGGAGTAAAGGCAGATTACATGATTCCTGATTTTCCAACTTTGTCTTTTCCAAATTTTTCTTCTTTAATGACAGGTAATTTAAAGTTTTACTTTTGTTTAGAATATACAGTAAGTAAATTAAAAACTATAAGATGTAAAAGATGAAACTAATTAAGAAGAGACAAAATAAACACAAACGGAGGGAATCACATAAACTCCAAAAGGAGCGATATCCGGTGCGTCGAAAGGGTAAGCGTCTTCTTTTATGCATACATAACCTGCCTTACAAATCCAAACTTATTCAGAATGTCAATATTGGAAATAGTACATAATCGGTAAAATTACAGATCAGCACACTATACTGGTATCTAAATATCTAAGACTTCGAAAACATGTCACTAGTGAGTTGAGACACCGACACATCGTATCGGTCAACAAATTCGTGATGCTTACAGTAAAACTTATGTAGTGTCGATTTTAGTCGTTCTTCCTTATAACTCTTTTTGGGCAGAAAGGAGTACACCTCTGTAGACGAATTCCATATAGTACGAACATGCACCATCGTAACGTATTAACAAAGATATGTAAGCGCCATACGAAGGACCAGGTGATATTTTTCATGTCTGGGCCTTTTATAGCATACTATGAGTATGGCTTTTGCTAAATGTTGGCGGCCGTACTAGGACCTATAATTGCTAATATCTACATCATTTGGTCTCTGATGGATAGTGGTCTTATTGGCAATCATATCCCATCTCCTTATCTTTATATCTGAAATAAATTAATGCTGTAAAATAGAGGCGGAAGATACCGGTACCTTGGTGATATTCAAAAGTCATAAATCGGATAAACTGACAACGCCATTACAAAAACACCGAAAGACTACGAAAAGACAAACACGTTCACAAAACACTACATAGATAATTAGGCTAAGGAACACGAACCCAACCAAAAACTGGGGAACATCAGGTGCTCCGGATGGGTAGGCAGAGCCTGTTTCGGTAGTGGCACCCGTCGTGTTACTCGTGATAAGTACACATTAAATGATGGGTCTCATTCGGTGACGTTACAATCGAGGGAATGAGGACGGGATTGTGGTTACGACTTTTGGACTATATCCGTGGTCATCTGTGACATAGAAAGTCCATAACGATAAACCAACTCGTGATGGCGTCCGTAAAACTTTCGAAGAGATGACTAAAATTCACCATTTGAAACCCTTGATAGCGTCCTTGAAAGCAGCAATCCTCTATCAAGGAAATCATGATACAAACGCAAACTCTGGAATATCGTATCAAATGGGAGAAATATACTTCATATGCAAGCGCTATCGTAAAGTATTGTAAGATTTGAAAAGGGACCTTGGTGTTTTAACAACAAGTACATTTGATCACTTTTCCAAATGTGCAAGAATTTATTTCGACGTAATGATATTTTAATGCGTACTTGCACAAGTCTTATCATAGTTATGACAATATATAATTTTTAAGAATCTATTGTAGTTTAATACAGTCTTTCTACGAAAATTCAGTTTGTACATTTAAAAGCTTTAAGTGAAAATATGATTTGATGTCATGCATAAGGAATACGAACCTTGCAGAATAGACTTAAATACAAGGGTATAAAGTATACATCAAGGAGACCACCACCCAACAACACATTCAAACAAACGAAAATAATAGACAGGTACTTTTTCTTTTGTAAAGCTCTCAATCGAGTCATGAAGTTGAAACAAAGTTCGTTTTATTTGAAATTATTTGTGCCAGCTTTAAACTTCCAGGATTACACGCAGAAGATCATGGATTTGTTGGTAATTTTATGTACCATGAAGAAAAACAGAGCAGTTTTGAATACAAGATGGTAAATTTAGAATCAAACCAATCACATTGGTTTGAGGGTGCTGAACCTTTGTGGATATCTGCAGTTAAACAAGTAAGAAACTTGGTTACAAGTGAAGCTCGAAAATCAAACAGCTTTGTATTATTACTATTTTTTTTACATTATTTGTTTTATGTTTTCATATATCTATATATTTTAGTAAAATCTCGAATAATAACTTAAAAACGCAACATCACTAAAGTTCGTTTGTATGATGGATACAAAGGGTTATTAATTAAAACCAAAAGCAATGGAACAGCATTCGTATAGCTGTTGTTCATCACAAAGTCACAGTCAGGCCTCCAACACGGAACACAAGTTTGCACTTAACTGCAAATTCAGTTCACTGCAAATTCGGGACCGTTTATAGCACCGGTTTAAGTACAATGTTCTTTTTCTACAGATGTCGAAAAGTCATCGAGGATATAATGCTTATAATTTTGTACGATGTACGATAATTGCATTAAAAGCCTTTAAGCATAAAAACATGCAGTCCCTTATATTAACAGAATGAAAAAGTTGACTTTTCAGAAATTATATCATTTCATTTTATTCATTCGCATGTGAAACATGTTTTATGCATGTAATACGCATATCTGAATAGTTTACTCCGAATAGTTCGTTGACTGTCTTCTTGTCTATAGTTAAATTCTCCAGATCAATTGCTTGTACTTATTATTTCCAGGGAAAAAAATCATACATGTTTGAATGGCCTGGGTGTCATGTCCCTGTATATAACATGACTTCTACGTTTTGTGATAAAATGAATGAATGGCCGATGGTTGAACGGACGGTACAAAATTTAAAGAAAGCTGTTGACTTGTTAAAAGCAGACAAAATTGATTTTGCCGGTAAGCTCATTTTAAAGCGTCAAATAAATGTTTTTAACTTGATACAACTAGCAAAGAGTGATTAAAAACACAATAAATAAAACTCTACGTATATGTACTTGCTTTAAAAATCCCTATCTAAATTAATAGCCATAAGCCTTGTGCATTTGGTGCAAGCGTTAGTATTTGTGAAACACCTAGTAGTGTTTTCTTTTTGTAATTTCATATTTCTCTGTTTTCATTTTTTCATCCTGTTATCCTGGAATATTATTCTGCTAATTTCATTGGTCTACGATCATGCCATAGTATTTATGGTAGTCTTGTTAGTTATTTGTTTAATATACTAGGCCAAACAAAATTTAGTGTTAGTTTTTCGAGAGCTTAATTACAAAAGGAAAACATATTCCAATTTATCGTCTATTTATTCCTTTATTTATATATTTAAGTACTCGACACCATCGAAATCTCAAAAAAATAAAAAAAATGATTTTTTTTGTAATTCACATGTCATTTCCTCAAGGTGTTTTGGACTATCCATTAATTCGTTGGAAATGCAGTGATCTGGAAGGATTTTTTCTCTATGGGCCCAGGGCCCCCCAAAAATAAATTCAATGGGCCATTTTTAGAATTAATGGGCCATGTTGTCAAATGAGTGGGCCATTCGTTTACAATAAAAAAGTGTATATTTCACTGTACTTACAAGTATGATTCTAATTAATATCATGGATATTGTTCCTGTGATTTTGTAATTTCAATTTCAATGAATATACAATAACTTCTTCCAAACCCGGCAATATTTACGATAACCTTTATTTACAATGTTAAAACTGGTACTGTTCCCTTGTTCATGTTCATGGTTTTTTTTTACATTAAATTTGGGTCTTCGTCGATACCATACTTATTCCAGACGTTCCGTATTAGAGGACGTTTCTGGCATTTCCTCTGCACTTGTATTATTATTACTTCATCAGGATGACAATAATAACAGTAGAGAGCAACGTTAATTGATAAGACACAACAACAATTCGCTGAAGGCATGTTTACAAAATGTCAAAACGAGCCAAAGACCAAAACAATTGACAAGGACAGTTAAGCCCCTTTTATGGAGAAAAATACTATACTATGCATAAAAAGGCTTTTGGGTTTTTCAATCGAAATAATAGCAAGCTTACTTAAAAGATTATAATTAGAGAAGAATTCTCCCCTGTACTAGCCAATTTTCACAATTAAAGTTGTTTATAAAAAATTATATCATGAATGATGGTTAATTACGTTTTTGGGGTAATCAGTCATACCGCATGTTGCTATTATTACAATAGGAAAACACCCGAGACGTCCCAAAAATATATAGGTGCTCCTATCATTGGAGTGAACACTACACAGTTGTGTACTCACACATGGCGGCACGAAATACGATCGGAAATCCATTTGACGATATCTCAACGTTTCAAAACGAAGTAAAAAATATCATGCGCCACGCGGGCGCTGACATTTGTTACTTATGCGCCATTTCTGGTCTATAAGCGCAATTGGCGCAAGGCGCACGTCCTTCCCGATCACTGAAATGCAGAAGAAGAAAAAAGATATAGTAAAAATGTCGCTGCTCAGATAAATTCAAAGAAACAACAAATTAATTTGTCTTATGGAAAGCCGCGTGTTTAAATCCCCTGAAATTCTACATTGCTCCGTATTTTTACAGGTGTAAAAAAAATTCAAAGGAAATTTACTTGCCTCTTTTACGCTTGTTAAGTAACTAATTCAAATTCTATTATCTATGAATTGATTAAATCAATAATTGATCATAATTAAGAAAATACAAAAAAGAAAAGAAGTGAGTACATATCATCGAACAAAAACTTATTCAGAAAGACGTTTAGTAAAGAAAAGATATAATCGTTATTTTTGCAGAATATACATTTGGGTGATATGTCAATAGATCATACATATATATCAATTAACATTTTGACTTAACTTTTACAGGAGTATATTTGAATGCTGTTGACAGATGGGGGCATAGTTATGGTCCAAACTCTAAAGAAGTTTTTGACATATTGAAACAAACTGATAATGCTATACACGAAATATTGTCAATGCTTAAAACGTATGACTTAGCAGAGAATACCAACTTAGTTATATTTTCTGACCATGGAATGACAGAGATTTCGGAATCTCGAACAATTGATATATCAGAACATATTGGTAGTATGGATGTCACAGCTGTTATGGATAAAGGTGCGGTTTGTAGCATATGGCCAAGAGAAGGAAAACTAGATAAGGTGACTAAGTTCAATTTTTAGTATTGTTGCAATTACGCCTGTTGGTTAAGTTAACAAGAGAATTTATCCTTGCTAAATATTCCATCAGACAATAATTGTTTATTGTAGTTTTAATCTTCTTTCAAGGTAAAAAAAAACACGTAAAGCTTAAAGCTCCCTCCTTTACTTTATCTTGCCAACACTTGTCTTGTGATTGTCAAGTGTAATCGACTGTTTATTACTATAGTAGTTTATACACTTATCCTTATTTATGAGACAATACAGGAAAGATTCAGCAGTAGAATGTATTCACCAAATATTCATGTGATTACTGCCATCTCTCTATAATTAGGGGCGAAATTCGCGTATTTGATTGATTTCTCGAGGTTTCATACAAATGATAACCAAGAGTCAAGTACGTATAGTCATCTTCTAAGCAATAGTATCTCATTTGGTTATTTTGATAAAGACTTGTTAGAAATTTCTACAATTTTCACCTTTTATAAATATATTTAAAGATAATTGTGATGTGGGACACATAAGTTTGAGTTTGCTGTAAATTTCGCTCAATGGCTAAATTATTATTCTATTGCAACTTTTAAATTTCCTTTTGCATGAAAGACTAAGATGATTACCTTTTAGATGGAAACCGCTTGTCAAAAAAATAAGATTAAACTAACAACCAACGAAAAATAATGTAAAATAAAGTTTCAGTTTAACGTTGTCTATTCATAATTATTATTTCATTTAAGCATTTATAAACTAAAATATATGTCTTTAATACCTATAGACATAGGACTGTGCTATTTGTGCATGTTGTGACTGGTCAAGGATAGACATCAGAATACAAATAACGCATTATTGTATACCTCGTTCCTCGACATAATGCTACGATGAAACATTCAGCATTGCTAAATAAAATAAAAAAGATACCGCACAATACTAACATGACATTAATTTTGATAATAGGTTTATACAGGTCTAACGGAAATGGGAAATAGTCATATGAGAGTGTTCAAGAAAGATACTATACCAGACCGCTGGCGATATAGGAATAACAAAATGATAGCTCCAATAATCGTTGTGGCTGATCTTGGATGGTACATTTTAACAGTAAGTTAACAATTGCTTGCCTTTTCATTTGTTTTTTTTTATCCTCATCCTCATCCTCATCCTCATCCTCGTCCTCGTCCTCATCCTCGTCCTCGTCCTCGTCCTCGTCCTCGTCCTCCTCCTCATCATCATCTAGGGAATTTTTATCTAAGGTCCGAAAGTTTGTGTGTTTCAGTGTTATTTTGATATGCTTTAAAATTTAGGCAGACATTTTTTCTTGTTCGGGTATCGAAAATATAAGTATAATATGTGAGAGAAGGTATGAATTACATGGAAACATTAAAATAAATGAGGTTCCAGCTTTTTTTCGTGTGAAATACACTAGATCTTATGAACTGTATGAAAATTTATCTATAACCACAAAACCAACTGATTTAAAAGTCAAATATTATAAACCAACGAAGAAAGTAAAATAATAATGTTCTTTGAGTTATTCCCTTTTTTTACCATGATAGATGCTTTCCTTGTCGGCGCACCTGGTCTGACTTTATCTGGAATTCATGCGATTCCGATTGTTTTTCTCCTTTGTCCCTATGTACATATTGATTGGAGAGTAAGTTCCTAGGCACGTGTTGAGTGAAGGTCGTACCTTACACACATCAAAGAACAAAACAACATCTCTCGAGCTCTATAAGGATCTAGGTGGTAACTTGTTGTATGCTTAACTTAAAGTCGAGCAACACGACGGGTGCCACATGTGGAGCAGGATCTGCTTATCCGTCCGGAGCCCCGGTTTTTGTTGGGGGTCGTGTTGCTCAGTCTAGCTTTTTTATGTTGTGTTTTGTATATTGTTGTTTATTATGTGGTTTCTTTTTCGTTTTTTTTGCCATGACGTTGTCAGTTTATTTTCGATTTATGAGTTTGAATGTCCCTTTGGTATCTTTCGCCTCTCTTTTAGCTATAATACATCCTGGTATTCAAGCTACTGATAATAATTACCCATACCTTTTCCACAATATCCTACCTTTTAGATTAAATAACTGAGATGTTGTCGACTTGTTCAGGTTTAAAATGTGTAGGGAGTTATTTGACACTAGACGGTAAGCATTTAAGGGTCAACCCATTATATATAACACATTCGAATTAAGATAAAAATTGCCACTGTCTTTTAATCTTTGCTCGAAGAGTATTATAAAGCGTTGCATTATCTGTTTAATAAATAGGCAGTGACTTATAATAGTGGCAAATAGTTTAAGATGATACACTGCAACATTTGCTTGTTTACGTTTTTCACTAGCACCTTGAATAAACGAAAATGTTCTTAAATAATGTAGGACTGTTTTAGAATTTCCAAATTATTTTGCCATAATTTCACCGTACTAGATTTATACTACAATTTGGATGTATCAGTTTCACCTGTATCTAGTAAAAGATACAGGAATTATAGTACAAATGATTTTGGACATCAATAGTACTATAATATTTTTACACTTTTCAGCATATGTTCAGTAAAATATATAATCAAATTACTGTATTTAAACAAGTACTAAAACAAGTTTGAATGTCCCTTTGGTATCTTTCGCCTATCTTTTAATTCATTTTATAGATACATTTTCAGTACTTCAAATGTAAAGTAATAAAAAGGAAACATGCAAAAGTAGCTGTGTATATGTTCATATCTTTCTAAAGTATTCTTTTTAATTATACAAAGTAAATGCATATATAGAAATCAAGAATGCAAAAGTAGCTGTGTATATTTTCATATCTTTCTAAAGTATTCTTTTTAATTATACAAAGTAAATGCATATATAGAAATCGTCATGAATTTTACCATGGATTTATATAGTAAGACTTACTATACAAATCCTTGATTTTACTTATATAATTTTATTTAAACCCAATTGTAATACATTATGTATCTATTGTTTCAATTATAGAAAAATAACAATTCTAGAAACTTATTATTCGTATTTGAAAAAGGGTAGATCCACTAAATGCTTTTTATGGTTAGTAACAAAATTGTTGTGTTAAGGCTAAAGAAATATTTATTTCAGCCTGATGGACCATCAATAGACAAATACATGAATGGACCAGCAAAGGGGCACCATGGATACGACAATGCAGAGGAAGACATGCGCGGAATATTTCTGGCGATGGGTCCAGGTGAGAAAATTAGTTGATTAACTGTTGACATGCACAGAGATGTGGCTCTATTTTTCTCGTTTATGACATCCAAGAGCGCTACTTCTTTTCATTGAGTTTTTACTTGTCATTAACAACAGGACGGATGCTACTAGTTGAGCAGGAACTGCTTACCCAGTTCCGCCCAGAGCACCGGAGTCCATCCGCGGTGGAGTTCTTGTTGCTTGATCGTTATTTTATATGAAATGTTTTGTTGACTATGGTATTTGTCGGGGTTTTTTTGGTCACGGTGTTGTCCAATGTTAAACTGAAAACTAATGTTACAAATAGCTGCCATATGTGCTACCAGGTTTGCACCCAAAATTATTGGTCTTTGTAAAAGGATTTCTTTCTGTTCTATAATATTTCGAACTTTCGAAAGAATAGGACTCTATAACAAAAATATGGAGACCTTCTCTTAGTGTCATGTTTTTATTTGATCGTAATGAATGCGGAAATACCAGAAATGACAATTCTTAAATTAAGTTGGTTATATTTATATGAATTAAATGTGTAAAAGTCCATATAATGGAAAGCAACACAAAATAATACAGGTTCGCCAGACTTTTAAGTTCATGCATACTAAACAACTTGCTCGTCAGTATTGTTTGCTCTAAAAAAAAAAGTGTGTTGGAATCAAAATCTTTTAAGTAAAAAAAAAGCAGGAAAACATCATGAAACATCCTACATTTTATTGTACATTTTTCTATCAATTTATGTGTACCTTTTAAAAGGGAGCTACCATTTGATTTTCAGTGGGGGGAGAGGGGGGGGGGATAGGATGAAAAATTTTGTCCTGCATTTTTTTTTTAGTTGAAATCTCTAACCTGCCTTTTTTTATTTTTCACTCTATTCGGTCCTGCCTTTTTTTTTAGTAGTTTATCCTGACTTTTTTTTACATAAATAGTCATCCTGCCTTTTTTTTCATTCAAAACTCCTGTCGTGCCATTTTTTCTTATTCCATCCTACTCCCCCTAAAAATCAAATGGTAGCTCCCTTATTCCACTGATTGAGAACAGCGAAAGGCAGGATTAAGTACAAATAAAGTTTAAACCTATCACATGTAAATGTTCCTGGTTAAAGTAATGAAAGTCGTCCATGGTTGTCTTTCTTGAAAAAGATGGGACGGGAGGCATATATAACTAATACAGAGTGTATCTCTGTGATCATTCTTAGAAGTACAAATTAATAATCAAAGTACTGAAGTACTTAACATCGGATGACTGCAAGTTCTTGTGGATGGTCACAAGCACTTGTCTCAGAAAAAAAAATCACATCTCTATACCTGAAAGTGAGGTTAATGTACAGATATAAAAAAATTCTGAGATAAGTTCGTGGATGATAAATAAATGATAGGGAATTCAACCTCACCGTAATAACTATTATATTGTAGTGATACAAATCAGTATACTCTGGTTTCTTGTTATATATTATCGAGATGTAAAAAAATCATTTTGTATATTGAATAAAATCTAAATTATAATTAAAATTATACAAAAACAATACCTACACAATTGTTAGAGGGAACAACAATTTTTGATTGCCATTATTCATATTTTTTAGATTTTAAGAAGAATTACAAGACTGGACCTGTCCGGGCAGTAGATATTTATCAAGTAATGTGCAAAGCACTGAAAATACAACCTCTTCCACATAAGGGTGACTGGTCAAGGGTTAAAGATATATTCAAATGATCATAAAAAGTTCAATTAACATTATGAAGTTAAACTTAATTACTGACAACGCATGCATCCTTTCTATTTCAGAAACTAAAATTTGGTGCATCTCAAAATTTTAAAACATTTAGTAATCGAAAAATTAATCATAAATATGAATGCGATATTATGAAGGGTGAATATCAAGACACATCATGGCCAAACATACTAGTAAATAAGAAATGTTATCTACTTCATTACATTTTTTAAAAAGCCTGGAGAGTCTCATCAAATCCTTTATAAGGTTACTGACTTATGTGATCTCTATTTAAAAGTACTGATACTAATTTACACAATATTATACATTATTCAAATTTCTTAGGGTGAGAGTAGCTCAATTATTATTGCAATATATGAGTATTTTTTGTGTGCTAATATTCTGTTCTACCAAACCAACCCAATAGAAGTAAAAAACTTGTACTTATTTCCATGCACACAACATACTTTCTAATAACCTTCACAAAATTGTGATATTTTTGGAAAGGGAGTGAAATGTCACAAAATCATACCAACTTAACAACTTTATATAATCGTGCTTCACTTCAAATATGGAATCACTGAACCTTAAAGTTCCTAAGAAACATGGCATACTTTCATATATTATAGACAGGATCAGTTGAAAACAAAACTTTACAAGAGATGATTTCAGCTGCTGATATTTATGTAGCAACATCTCATCTGCACCTACATATAGAGGATATGTCTCACAGTTGATACAATATTCCAGAGTTTGTGTTTCTTTTAACAATTTCCTTGATAGAGGGTTGCTGCTTACAAGCAAGCTATTAAACCAAGCATTCCTAAGGTAAAGTTGAAATAATCACTTTGAAAGATTTTTACGACATCATGATTTGGTTGTCAGATATGGAATACATGTGTCACAGATGACCAGGGATATATTCCAATTGTTGTAGTAAAATCCTGTTCTCTTTTCCTCGTTTGATTGTAAAACCACCTAATGAGACTTATCACCCTTTGTACTCATCATGAGATACACAATGTTTGCCACATGTGGAGCAGGATCTGCTTACCCTTCTGCAGCACAATATATAACCCCTGGATTTTGGTAGGGTTTGTACTCAGTCTTTAGTTTTCCATTTAAGTGTTTCATAGACTGTTGTTTGTTGTTTTGTTGATTTTTGTTTTTTGCCATGGTATTGACAGTTTCTCTAATTTTTGTGCTATTTTCACATTTCTTGATTGGTGTGAGAAAAACATTTCTCCTCACTAGTGAAATTTTGTTCTCGGCAAATGATTGGTCGAAATTTAATTATGACGTCAAATTTTCTTTGTTTTTTTCTTAATTTCCTATTGTGACGTCATGAAAAAGGCGACCATGCCTGATGACGTCACATATAATTTTTTTAAAGAACACAACTTTCTGCAAATCTTTGAAATGGAAAGATAAAGATCATTAGAGAAACAGATTCCACCACTATAACTCGTGTATTACGATATTTCTCAACTCTCAACAGTTAAGTTTTAATTATTTAAAAAGCTCGGCAAGCCTCACGCTTTAAATATTAAAATTTAACTGTCTCGAGTGGAGAAATATCGTAACACACTTATTGCAGTGTTGAAATCTATATTTCTCTTTAACTTATGACTTAATGAATGTGCCTTTGGTACCTTTTGTCTCTTTTTTACAACAAAATGGTATTATTATAAACAAGGTGAAACTGCAACACCATTGAATCCAATTCCAGAAAAGTTGGTTATAGGAATGACCGAAAATAAAAATAATGTATAATGCAACAAGCTTACAACTTGGAGAACATTTTATTTGTAAAAATCCTCTCAACTCAAAACTGAAAATGAACAAACATTAAATACTCCATTTTAAATATTGAACACTTTAGCAAAGAACAAAACAGCTGTTATTGATTTTCAAGTTATATTTCAGAAACTAAATCCTCAATATTCTAAATGCAATACTTGTTCATAGTCAAAATTATGCACCAATCATAGAAAAGTTATCAAAATCTAAGTAATATCATATATTTTAAATATTAAATAATTTCTAGTTGACATTTGATATGGTTTACTTATTTACTGATAGTAAATTTCACATTGGAAAAAAAACATAATATATATAAAATAATGAATTTTATTAAAAGGATTATAAGAAAAAAAAAGGAAGAAATTTCATATTTCAAGAACTCTATTAACTTATTTTATAGAAAAAAATTTGGTGCACAAATCTATTTTGCCAAAAGACATAATTGATTTTTGTATATATTTTATTTTTCAATGCTGCCACCTGCTACTTGTCATAAGCAATATATCCATATTCCAAAGCAATTATGGTAGTTTTGTTTAAAATTTGTAAAAAAAAACAATAAAAATATCAGTTTTATTTTATCAATGTGAAAGTTCATCACATCTGCATTGTTTTGTCACTTCTTTCCACCAAGAGCCTGGCCTTTGTCTCTTCCACGAAGCTTCATACCTTAAAAAAAACAGAAAGATGATTATAATCCTATCACAGTCTTGAAAAATTACAATAATCATAAATCATTCACATTTGGTCTTTAAGTATAAAGGTCATCATTGATAGCAGTCATTCTGGATAGAGGAGCATAATTGATTTAAGTTTTATGAAGCAAAAGATTATGATTCAATCTGTCCAAAGGTTTTAGTGTGAACTGCCCACCTGATCACCAGGCATAATGAGTGAATATAAACTATACATTTATTTCCCATGCGGGAGGGAGATATGAAGATTTGTTCACCCAAGAATATTTATATTTCACGAGGGCTCTGCCCGGTGGAAATATGATTTTTCGAGGGTGAGCAAATCTTCATATCTCCCGAGGCAAAGGGAAACGAATGTTTTATTCCACTGCCTATGCTTTGTTTACTATCAATACATTAAATATTATTTTGCATACATTTTTTTTCTTATCCGCTTGTTTTTGTAAGTCAAACTAAACATGACATACCCATTGATAAACAGTAAGGATCAAAATTTAATTATAAGTCTTTTTGTTTTATCGTCTGAAATAAATTTGAACATAATAATGATTTTTGCTATCGCTATTTTAAGAAGAATAAGAAGCTCAAAACGTTATGTACATTAACCGCGCGTAACGTCGCACGAAGTAATCCCGACATTTCAGAGGGGAATATGATCCTCAGAATGGAATATGAAGATTTGTCCAATAACAAGTGGGATAGTCTCAACCAATCAAATATTGATTAAACTATCAATATGTTTAAACAGTGGAATAATATAAATTGTGTGTGTCTGAAGCTCTTTTCTGGATTTACCATTATCAGGAACACTCAAATCCAACCATTTGAAAACCAAGGATGTATAAAACCTAAACAGTGTAGATTGCACTTTGTAAATACAGCTGTTTCAAAAACCACACCTCTTTTGGGGAGATATATAATATTCATAGATATTTTGTTTTGTTTACGTACTGGTTCCCAGATATGATCTATATGTTTCATCTCATAGAGAGATAACTTGGGAATGTTATCAGTATAAAATAAACTGCTTCGCTGAGCGCAGCTGGATATGCCCGCAGAGGTCCAACCCTGAACAGTTGGGGCAATAATGGACACAATATTCAAGCTTGATACAGGTCTGAATTTGGATTGTAATTAAATATTTGATATATTATAGGTTTCTGAATAAATGTAGTCAAAGAACTTAAAATTGGTTATATGAAAGATTTCTTGCTGTTGTGCAATACACTGTGCTGTTGCGCAATACTTAGTAAATCTGTTGTCAGACTATAAACAAATAAAATCATATAACTCGGAAACGTAAAATCGAAAATTTATAAAAATCAAAAGGGAGCTTACAAAAATAGATATTAACAATTTACCAAAGTCTCATAAAAAATGCTGAAAGCATTTTTGAGATATTGTCCGAAAACTGGAAAATCCCTCTTTTTGTAATGAATAAAACCCCATAAATCGGAAACGTATAGTCTGAAATTTATAAAAAAATCAAAAGGGAGCTCATGTGGATAGAAATAAACAATTCACCAAAGTTTCTTGCAAATTGGTGAAATTGTTTTTGAGTTATTGTCTGAAAACTGGAAAATCCCCCCTTTTTTAATGAATATAACCCCAAACCTCGGAAACAGTAACACCGAAATTTATAAAAAATGAAAGGGAGGTCAGGTCAATAGATATGAACAATTCACAAAAGTTTCATGCAAATTGGTGAAATTGTTTTTGAGTTATTGTCTGAAAACTGGAAAATCCTCCCTTTTTTAATGAATAAAATCCCAAAACTCATAAAATTCCAGCAAGAATTGTACACGTAAGAGCACTAACAAGACCGGATGGAAGGTCAGACAGACGCCTAGTATTTCCATGTCCCCCGCAACGCATTGCAAAGGGGACAACAAGCAGAACTGTGAGCTATTGCACACCATACCCCTGCTTCAAGTATTCAGTAAACAGGAATTTGAAGAAACACATTATTTGTTCACATGAAGCCTGATAGCAAATTTCAGGAAGCTCTTATTTGTAGTTCCTGGAAAAATGTGAAGAAAATTTCATACATAGCCAGTATGTGTTGGAATAATATATAAATATCCAGTAAACAGGAAGTTGATGAGCGTTGAATCAGAATCCACTTCAAATTGCATAACATGAATCCTGATAACAAATTTCAGGCAGCTATAATATGTTCCTGAAAAAATGTGATGGAAATTAAATGGGACGGATGGACAATTGGATGGGCGGACAGACAGGGGTTAAACAATATACACCCTTACATTCAGAGCGGGGTATAAAAAAGAGCTCGAGCAATAATAAAATAGTGTTTCCTGTTTTACTTTAAAGATTAAATTTGGCTGGACATATTAACTGGACTCATCTTGAATAATTTATAGTTCAATATGATCCAGGTTCTGCTTGGGCCTTCATTAGCATTAATGGAACACACACTGACAAACAATAATTCCAGTATGTTTTTGCTAAGACCTGATCATTGACATAGAACTCACCAAAAGTTATTCATGTACAAACCGCCTTTTAATTAAAGGTTTTACAAAAGGTATCAAACAGGGCTAACACTACTTCAAAATCATAGGGAGAAGTGATATCTCTCTTTGAATCTGGTAGGGAGAAGTGGTGAGATTTGAAAGAGAAGTGCTTGTTCATTTGCGGCGCTACAATGTTTGGTTTTTACTATAATATAAAGGGCCATATGTATCCTTTTTTTTCATATAGGTGTTAAATTCATACCCGAGTCAATTTAAGTAACAGTTATTTCAGTTTATGTCTCCAATAGTCATTTATAGTTGCATAATTATATTAATCATCTTGTCAGAATCTACCAACTAAATATCTAGCACTTAAAAGAACTTTTTTATATCAAAAAGGAAAAGAAAATATCATATATTAATTAAAATGCAATTAAAAAACTATTCTGTTTATCATCTTAATGAAATTCACTGTTTCTCATTAAAAAGATATATAAATTTAACCAAGGATTTGTATAGTAAGAAAAGTTAAGAAACAATGCATTTGCATGGAAATATATACATTTAGCAAGGAGATTAATGTGTGTGGAATGCCTAATTTCCACTTTTTGGGTCATTATTCTTTTGTCAGCTCTTCAATTCAGGCGTCTGTAGTTATTATAGTAAGAATACAGATTTTGGTCATAGCTGGTCTGCTTCCAATAAAATCTTTTTCCGATCCGTGGTTTCGTACAAATATTTCAATGGCGGATGAAGAAAATTTACGAAAATAAACAAAGTTTGACAAGCGATTCGGAAAGGAATATGACGCTTTTACTACAATCAATGGATCAAACATTAACTAAAGGCAATTTTGATCATTTTCTAATGAAGTAACAAACTTATTTTACCGAAAATCAGAATGTTTTGATATACGATCTCGAGTAACAAGTACAGGATGTGAAAGAAAATACTTTTTAATTTAAGTTGTTTCTTTGAAATTACATACGACCAACCCATAAAGTCAATACTTTCACAACTTTTTACAACAAAGAAATAAGTTGTTTATGTTTTTGAATTTCTTCACTTTTAAATGAAAAATATGCTGTTTCATTGACTTGGTAAGAAGGGAAAATTGCCGATGACGAAAGCGACTGCAAGCGACTATTGTGAACACCATGGCGACTAGATTTCGCTTTTGATGGTTGGGCAAAGAGTAGTGACGGACGGGAAAGCGCCTTTTTCACCCTAATCGCCTGCTAGCGTGAGCCCTGGTACCAATGCTAATACAACTGCATACCAAATATCATTTACCTACCACTTGTGGTTCCCCATAAACCGACCTAATCACAAACTAATACATGAAAACTCAGCAAAATTTTCAAAGTCAATAGACCATGACTGAGAAGGCGGGGCAGGGCCAAATAATTGCCATGGAAATGAGATGTGCCAATACTAATACAACTGCATACTAAATACTATTGACTTATCATAAGTAGTTCCCTTTAAACAAACCTAAACACAAACTAATACATGAAAACTAAGCAAAAGTTTCAAAGTCAATAGACCATGACTGAGGGGATGGGCCAAATAATCACCAAGGAAATGAGATATGCCAATGCTTATACAACTGCATACCAATTATCATTAACTTACCACTAGTGGTTCCCCATAAACTGACCTAATCACAAACTAATACATGAAAACTAAGCAAACATTTCAAAGTCAATGGACCATGACTGATGGGGCAGGGCCAAATAATCTCCATGGAAATGAGATATGCCAATGCTTATACAACTGCATACCAATTATCATTAACTTACCACTAGTGGTTCCCCATTAACTGACCTAATCACAAACTAATACATGAAAACTAAGCAAAAATTTCAAAGTCAATAGACCATAACTCAGGGGTGGGGCCAAATAATCTCCATGGTAATGAGATGTGCCAATACTAATACAACTGCATACCAAATATCTTTAACTTACCACTAGTGGTTCACCATAAACTAGACCTAATCACAAACTAATATATTGTTGACGCTGACGCCCCTGGAAACAGCATACCTATGTCTCGCTTTTTGACTCCGTCAAGCGAGACAAAAAATACATTAAAAATCTTACCAAGTTGTCTTTCGAGTTTATTCATAATTTGCTGGTTTGGAATTGCCTTTCCAGATTCATATTCATTAATTATTTGTTGTTTCTCATTTATTTTCTACAATGAAAAAACATATAAGTGTAATTCATTTTACAAAATGTACATAAAAATACGTTAATATAAGTGTTTGCTGCTTGCAAGAGTAACAGAAAAGTAAATAAATTGGGAATGTGTCCATGGGATACAGATGATGCCCCTTCTTGCATATAACATTATAAAGGGATATAACTAAAGAACTGTAAAAGTAATGCAACCCAAATTTGTACTTGATCTGAGTTTTGTGGTAATAGGTATTGTGCATTAGTTTCATAACATTTGGTTGAGGCAAAAGTAGAGAACAGAAATGAAAAATTAAGCAATTTTTCCATTTGTAAAGGGGCATAACTCTAGAATGGAAAAAGTGACGCCACCAAAATTGGATCTGTGTTTTGTGATAATAAGCATTGTGTATAAGTTTCATAACATTTGGCTGAGGCAAACTAAAGTTAGAGAACGGAAACGAAAAATTCAGCAATTTTTCCATTTGTAAAGGGGCATAACTCTAGAACAGTAAAAGTGACGCCACCAAAATTCAAACTTGACCTGTGTTATGTGGTTATAAGCATTGTGTATAAGTTTCATAACATTTGGTGGAGGCAAACTTAAGTGAGAGAACAGTAACAAAATAAAATGCTTCGCTGGGGCACAGCTTGATACGACCGCAGAGGTCGAACCCTGAACAGTTGGGGCAAGTATGGACACAACATTCAAGCTTGATACAGCTCTGAATTTGGATTGTTATTAAATATTTGACACAGCATAGGTTTCTGACACAGAAAGAATGTGGTCTAAGAACTTGAATTTTTTTAATTTACCTATTATGGTCCAATGTCCAAAATCAAAATACATGGTTAGATTCAGCATATCAAAGAACCCCATATATTCAATTTTTGTTAAAATCAAACAAAGTTTAATTTTGGACCCCAACTTGGACAAACTTGAAAACTGGGCCCATAATCAACAAGAGTGCACACGCTGAAATGTCTCGCCTTCTTTACTAATCATTGATATTATGTTGATAGTCCTAAATATAAAGCTTTATTACAACTGTCACATAAACTTAACATTAACCAAGTAAACTAAACATTGACCAATGAACCATGAAAATGAGGTCAAGGTCAGATGAACCATGCTAGGCAGGCATGTACAGCTACCAATTCTTCCATACAACAAATATAATTGACCTATTGCTTATAGTTTAAGAAAAACAGACCAAAACACAAAAACTTAACACTGAGCAATGAACCTTGAAAATGAGGTCAAGGTCAAATAAAACCTGTGTGACTGCCAAATAGATCATAAAATATTTCCATACACCAAATATAGTTGAACTATTGCATATAGTATAAGAAAAAAGGACCAAAACTAAAAAAACTTAACTTTGACCACTGAACCATGAAAATGAGGTCAAGGTCAGATGACACCTGCCCGCTAGACATGTACACCTTACAATCATTCCATACACCAAATATAGTAGACCTATGGCATACAGTATAAGAAAAACAAACCAAAACACAAAAAATCAACTATAACCACTGAACCATGAAAATGAGGTCAAGGTCAGATGACACCTGCCAGTTGGACATGTACACCTTACAGTCCTTCCATACACCGAATATACTAGACCTATTGCTTATAGTATCTGAGATATGGACTTGACCACCAAAACTTAACCTTGTTCACTGATCCATGAAATGAGGTCGAGGTCAAGTGAAAACTGTCTGACGGGCATGAGGACCTTGCAAGGTACGCACATACCAAATATAGTTGAACTATTGCATATAGTATAAGAAAAAAGGACCAAAACTCAAAAAACTTAACTTTGACCACTGAACCATGAAAATGAGGTCAAGGTCAGATGACACCTGCCCGCTAGACATGTACACCTTACAATCATTCCATACACCAAATATAGTAGACCTATGGCATACAGTATAAGAAAAACAAACCAAAACACAAAAAATCAACTATAACCACTGAACCATGAAAATGAGGTCAAGGTCAGATGACACCTGCCAGTTGGACATGTACACCTTACAGTCCTTCCATACACCGAATATACTAGACCTATTGCTTATAGTATCTGAGATATGGACTTGACCACCAAAACTTAACCTTGTTCACTGATCCATGAAATGAGGTCGAGGTCAAGTGAAAACTGTCTGACGGGCATGAGGACCTTGCAAGGTACGCACATACCAAATATAGTTGAACTATTGCATATAGTACTAGAAAAAAAGACCAAAACTCAAAAACTTAACTTTGACCACTGAACCATGAAAATGGGGTCAAGGTCAGATGACACCTGCCCGCTAGACATGTACACCTTACAATCATTCCATACACCAAATATAGTAGACCTATGGCATACAGTATAAGAAAAACAGACCAAAACACAAAAACTTAACTATAACCACTGAACCATGAAAATGAGGTCAAGGTCGGATGACACCTGCCAGTTGGACATGTACACCTTACAGTCCTTCCATACACCGAATATACTAGACCTATTGCTTATAGTATCTGAGATATGGACTTGACCACCAAAACTTAACCTTGTTCACTGATCCATGAAATGAGGTCGAGGTCAAGTGAAAACTGTCTGACAGGCATGAGGACCTTGCAAGGTACGCACATACCAAATATAGTTATCCTATTACTTATAATAAGAGAGAATCTAACATTACAAAAAATCTTAACTTTTTTTTCAACTAGTCACTGAACCATGAAAATGAGGTCAAGGACATTGGACATGTGACTGACGGAAACTTCGTAACATGAGGCATCCATATACAAAGTATGAAGCATCCAGACCTTCCACCTTCTAAAATATAAAGCTTTTAAGAAGTTAGCTAACGCCGCCGCCGCCGCCGCCGGATCACTATCCCTATGTCGAGCTTTCTGCGACAAAAGTCGCAGGCTCGACAAAAATCTAAACACATGTTTAGATTCAGCATATCAAAGAACCCCAAGAATTCAATTTTTGCTAAAATCAAACTAAGTTTAATTTTGGACCCTTTGGACCTTAATGTAGACCAATTTAAAAAACGGGACTTAAAATTAAAAATCTAAATACACGGTTAGATTTGGAATATCAAAGAACCCCAATGCAATAATTCAATTTTTGATGAAATCAAACAAAGTTTAATTTTGGACCCTTTTGACCTCAATATGAACCAATTTGATAGCGGGGCCCACAAATAAAAATTCTAAATTCATGGTTAGATTCAGCATATCAAAGAACCCCATATATTCAATTTTTGTTGAAATCAAAAAAAGTTTAATTTTGGACCCCAACTTGGACCAACTTGAAAACTGGGCCCATAATCAAAAATCTAAACACATGTTTAGATTCAGCATATCAAAGAACCCCAAGAATTCAATTTTTGTTAAAATCAAACTAAGTTTAATTTTGGACCCTTTGGACCTCAATGAAGACCAATTTAAAAAACGGGACCCAAATTAAAAATCTAAAAACACGGTTAGATTTGGCATATCAAAGAACCCCAATAATTCAATTTTCGATGAAATCAAACAAAGTTTAATTTTGGACCCTTTTGACCTCAATATGAACCAATTTGATAGCGGGGCCTACAAATAAAAAATCTAAATACATGGTTAGATTCAGCATATCAAAGAACCTCATATATTCAATTTTTGTTGAAATCAAACAAAGTTTAATTTTGGACCCCAATTTGGACCAACTTGAAAACTGGGCCCATAATCAAAAATCTAAATACATGTTTAGATTCAGCATATCAAAGAACCCCATATATTCAATTTTTGTTGAAATCAAACAAAGTTTAAATACTGGACCCTATCTTGGACCAACTTGAAAACTGGGCCCATAATCAAAAATCTAAACACATGTTTAGATTCAGCAAATCAAAGAACCCCAAGAATTCAATTTTTGTTAAAATCAAACTAAGTTTAATTTTGGACCCTTTGGACCTCAATGTAGACCAATTTAAAAAACAGGACCCAAAATTAAAAACCTAAATACACGGTTAGATTTGGAATATCAAAGAACCCCAATAATTCAATTTTAGATGAAATCAAACAAAGTTTAATTTTGGACCCTTTTGACCTCAATATGAACCAATTAGATAACGGGGTCCACAAATAAAAAATCTAAATACATGGTTAGATTCAGCATATCAAAGAACCCCATATATTCAATTTTTGTTGAAATCAAACAAAGTTTAATTTTGGACCCCAATTTGGACCAACTTGAAAACTGGGCCAAAAATCAAAAATCTAAATACATGTTTAGATTCAGCATATCAAAGAACCTCATATATTCAATTTTTGCTAAAATCAAACAAAGTTTAATTTTGGACCCTTTGGACATTAATGTAGACCAATTTGAAAACTGGACCCAAAATTAAAAATCTAAATACACTGTTAGATTCGGCATAACAAATAAATAAATGTGATCAAAGATTTTACAAATCTAATGCGCCATACTGTGCAATTAAAGATTACTTCTTGAAATTTTTCAATATTTGAAATTTGAAAAAAAAATAATATTTGAAGAATAATTCTTTTTAATTTCTGAAATCTGAAATGAGAAAAAATTGGCCCCCCACAATTTCTTTTTATCCCCCCCCCTTTTTCCCCCAAAAAAATTCTTTCCCTCAAGATATGGTCATAATCTCAATTCAAATTTCCAATGGAGTTGGCAACCATAATTACCCATTTAAATTTACCATAGTGCTAACTTAATCTATTTTATAATAGAATTAATAAAAATATAGTGTCAAATCTTTCATATGGATTTTTTTGTAAAAAAAAAAGATGAAAACATTTGCAGATATTTTTACTGGTCTTCCTTTATAAATATGCATTTCTTTAAACATAATTTAAAAGCAGTGTAAGGGAAGTAACCAAAACGTTGTATTTGGATTACCTCCCTTACACTGTTTTAGATTATCTTTATTGTTCATTAACCATTACTTTATACATAATTTAAAAGCAGTGTAAGGGAGATAATTTCAATGATGTATTTGATTTATCTCCCTTACACTGCTTTAAATTATGTTTTGTACTAAAGTATTTGTCCATTAACCAGGACAACCTTGTTTTTCCCCCTTTTTTGCCCCTAATTCCTAAACGGTTTGAGCCATAACCCCCCAAAGCAAATCCTAACCATCCCTTTGTGGTATGGAAACTTGTAGTATAATTTCAGAGAGATCCATACACCGTTCCACAGTTATTGTCTGGAAACTAGAAAATGCTCATTTTTGGCCCCTTTTTGGCCCCTAATTCCTTAACTGTTGGTACCATAACCCCCAAAATCAATCTCAACCTTCCTTTTGTGGTATTTAACCTTATGGTCAAATTTCAAAAAGATCCATTCACTTAAACTAAAGTTAGAGTGCGAAAACCAATATGTATTCGGACGACGACGCCGGACGACGACGACGACGCCAACGTCATACCAATATACGACCACAAAATTTTTTTGCGGTCGTATAAAAATTCAGCAATTTTTCTATTTGTAAAGGGGCATAACTCTAGAACGGTAAAAGTGACGCCACCAAAATTGGATCTGTGTTTTGTGATAATAAGCATTGTGTATAAGTTTCATAACATTTGGTGGAGGCAAACTAAAGTTAGAGAACGGAAACCAATTTTGGGACGTACGTACGGACAAGGGTAAACTTAATGCCCCCTCCGCTACGGCGGGGGCATAAAAAAGAGTGGAAATAGAATTCTGTCAGTCTCAAATCAGGTAAGAAGATGTATCCAGGTGAGGTGCATTTTTCTTGAGGACTTGTACCAGATACTTTACTGAAGAGGTTGCAAAAATCAAGGTCATTACTGTCGACATTTCAAGCTCATCATAATGGCATACTGTTGAAATTCCACCCACTTAAATTTGAGCTATTCAGTATTTAAAAATTGACAGTTGAAGAAATCAAAATATAAAGCTCTTCTGAATTTTATTTCACTAACAGGGGCAAAAATTATTTTGTAGCTTTAGTTATCATCACATCAAATCTGATAGCACAAAACTTTCTGCAATCATTTTTAACAGGATAAAAAAAAAATTCCACAATATGTGTATTTTGTTGTTTTGAAAGATTGTGTTAAGACCGCAATGAAAAAACTTTGTAAGGGTTCCGCGGAACCCAGTGTCTCGCCTACTTTTGCTGTTAGTCGCAGGCTCAACAAAAATGGGGAAATAATTATTAATAATTTTCCTCTAGATACTATCTTTTGAATGTAAGAAGCTTCTGTTCAAGTTTGGTAAGAATCCAGGATGGTTTATGAATCTAATAAATGTTTTAAAAACTTTAACTGCAGACTGTATGTAATGTTAACTGGAAGAAAAACTAAGTCCATTTATAAGTAATATATGGAAAAACAGGAAATTTTTTTTTACAAAATTTCCTTCTAGATACTAGCTTTTGATCATAAACAAGCTTGTGTCCAAGTTTGGTACAAATCCAGGATAGTTTAAGAAAGTTATTAAAATTTTGAAAACTTTAACCACAGAGTGAATGTAATGTTAACTGGCAGAAAAACTAAGTCCATTTATGAGTAAAATACGGAAAAACAGGATTTTTTTTTTTACAAAATTTACTTCTGGATACTATCATATGATCGTGAAGAAGCTTCTGTCCAAGCTTGGTAGAAATCCAGGATAGTTTAAGAAAGTTATTAAAATTTGAAAAACTGAGTGAATATTTGTGGACGCCGCCGATGACGATGACGACAGAATGTAGGATCGCTATGTCTCGCTTTTGCGACAAAAGTCGCAGCTCAACAAAAAGCATCCAAATTGGATAAAAATTAAAGTTCTATGTATCATATCATTGAAAAGTACCATTTTCAAAACCTTTGGCTTTTTACCATGTATGATTCAGAAAGAAAACCTTCAACAAATTTAACTGGAAAACACGGGTATAAATTAAACCGAAAAACAAGCAAAATATTGCATCAAACTCTCATGAAAAATAAATCCAGTTCATGATCATTTAAACTAGTGAAAGCACCATTCTGAACATATTTAGTTCTTAATCAGAAATGCATGAGACAAGAATCTCCATTTTTGATAAAATTTTACAAGGAAAATTAAAAAATACATGAAATATGTAAAATGTAAAATATCTGGGGATGTGTAGTTAAAATTAAACAAAAAAGTTTAATTATCCAACAGATTATAGTTTCCAATTTTCTACAGATGGACAAAAGGCAGAATCTAATTTCCAATTTTCTACAGATGGACAAAAGACAGAATCTAATTTCCAATTTTCTACAGATGGACAAAAGACAGAATCTAATTTCCAATTTTCTACAGATGGACAAAAGCATATCATTATATTACCACTAAATTTTACAGTCATATTAAAACTTACTTTTTCAGCATCTTTTTTTATTTACTTTAACAATGTTCTCATTTAACAAAAAAATCTTTTTTTACTTAGTACACTGTATTTTACTTGTAGTACACTTGTTATAAACAGTGCTTATTTCTTACAGTGGCCAATTCTTTTTGGGTCCATCCCTTTGCCTGTCGTCCCTGCATAATAAGTTTGGCCACATCCAAACTAACTGTATCATGATGTAGTTCCTCAGTCTCTCTGTCAAGTTTGGCTGTGTTTTTACTACTTGAGTGTTGTTTGTTTCCACCTCCATCAACTATCAAAAACAATGGTACATGTATCCAGATAAATTTCATGTATATTAATGATGACTAGATACAGTATTATATATACAACTTTAATAATAAGTTAAATGTCCAATTTAGCATGATACCACCAAAGCAGACCACTATAAAGTGAACCATCTTTGGAAACATTTTCATATAAAACATGTAAAATAATTGGTCTCTATTTAAGGTTTAACCAATAACTTTTAATTTTAATTTCATAATGATCCTCTACATATTTTCTAATTCCCTTATTTATTTGATCAATTTCTGATTAAGAAAAGTACCTGTCTCAAATGAACAATATCCTTTGCCTACAATTATTTTTAAAGGGGGGGCTTGTGGAGCTGAAGCATCTTTATACTCAATATGTTAAACATGTTTAATGCTCGGTGTTGAAGACCGTACTTTGACCTATAATGGTTTACTTTTATAAATTTTTACTTGGAGAGTTGTCTCATTGGCACTCATACCACATCTTCTTCTATCTAATTAATGTATTGTTTGACTTTAACCACAAGTCAAACTGTTATTTCAATGTTCATTTAATTGAACAAACTCTTTCATACTGTCATGTTGATATCTTAACAACTTTACAATAAACTACCTAAACTGTGACCAAAATCTTGGCCATCATCACTGAATTATGAAAATATGATCTTGAAATTCATCTACCTGTTTGTACAGATACTCATATCGTCTTCTCTGAAGAAATAGATAACGGCTGGTAAAAAAGTCATTAAAGATACAAGGCTTATAACTTGGTATGCCAGACACGCATTTCATCTACATTAAGACTCATCAGTGGCCCTAAAGCAAAACAGTTGCAATAACTTTCAATCTACATTGAAAATGTGTCAACTTACATTTTTTAGTTGTTTCTACATCAGCACCTGATCTCTGAGCAGCATTGATAGCCTAAAAAACAAAAACAACCATAATATTAATTTCATATTACTGTAAATTCAGAAATTATTGCGTGCATTTATTATTGCGATTTTGTCATTTTAGACTAAAATGCGATTTAAATTTTTGCGATAATGAGAAAAATCCTGTTTAATTCATATAAACAATTTCAAAATGCGACTTTAAATTATTGCGATTATCACCCTGTCGCATTTTTCACAATAATAAAAACATCGCAATAATTTCTGAATTTACAGTATACAAAATTAGAGGACATCCAACATCATCATATCCATCATCCATCTAAGTTTAGGTTTTCAATATCTGTTTTCCATCCAATATTCATATATTGAGTAGGAGAAAGAATGATAATACACTTTTTCTACCCTATTTTTGAAACCTAGTAAATATTTAAAAACATGTTAATCTACATTTATCAGTCAGTGATCATGAGTATAAACCATCCTCCAGGTGATCCAAAGAAATTATTTGGACAGACATTTGTAATACATTGAAAATTTTTGCTATTGCTTTCAGATATCAAGCGTGCTGGCATTTAAGGAAATTATCATGATTATAAAAACTACCTATTTTGACAATTATCGAAAATTACATTGTTGTTTCTTGATTTTATGTATAAATTCCTTTGTGGAACCATAGTGTGCAGTCAAGAAACAACAAAACAATTTTCATGATGCTCTATTAAAGCTTTTTACAATATCTTTTTAGCTTGTGAATTATATTATGGTAGCTACATGTACCATGACTGTGATATTTGATGTTCTTATGTCCCTACTATAAAGAACAAACAATCAAACACAGAACAATATTTTAAGAACTGTTTTCTTTATTCTGAATCAAACAAATCTTGACAATAAAATTGAGAATGGAAATGGGGAATGTGTCAAAGAGACAACAACCCGACCATAGAACAGACAACAGTAGAAGGTCACCAACAGGTCTTCAATGCAGCGAGAAATTCACGCACCCAGAGGCTACCTTCAGCTGGCCCCTAAACAAATATATATACTAGTTCAGTGATAATGAACGCCATACTAAACTCCAAATTGTACACAAGAAACTAAAATTAAAAATAATACAAGACTAACAAAGGCTAGAGGCTCCTAACTTGGGACAGGCGCAAAAATGCGGCGGGGTTAAACATGTTTATGAGATCTCAACCCTCCCCCTATACCTCTAGCCAATGTAGAAAAGTAAACGCATAACAATACGCAAGTTCTAAGTTTGCTGAACATATTTGCTATCTATTATCATTTACAAAATAATAGGCAGATACACTACACATGCTAAAAATTGGTAAAATCATCATGAAAGAGCAAGAACTCCAATAATGAGTTGACTGATAATTTCAGCACTGTTGACTTATTTGTAGATCTTGTCTTGCTGATCCTTTTTTCTTTTTTAAATTGTCTATTAATATCTTTTATAGTTTTCAAGAGAACAGTCAAAAACACAAAAATTGGTAAAAACCGTCATTACAGAGCAATAACTCCAATAACAAGTCGACTAAAGAATTCACTAATGTAAACTTATTTGTAGATCTTGGCCCGCTGAACATTTTTGCTTTGAAAATTTCTATCTATCTACTGCAGTTTTCAAGATATAAGACAAAACCACAAAAAATTGGTAGTAATCGTCATTAAACAGTGATGCAACTAATCGTCCGACCTGTCGGACCTGGGGGACAGAATTTTAGAGGGTCCGGCAAATGACGTCTTTGTGTCAGACCCAATGACCGGCAAATATTTTTACTGTTTGGGGCCGTCAAAATTGAAATTTCTGTTGGTTCTTGTAACCTTGGCTTCCAAATTAATAATGTAGTTGAAAGGCATTGAAAACCGAAAGTTCTTTATTGCCGGTAATAGGTAAACGTGCTGATGTAAACATATTTTGATCTTCTTTGCGTTTATCCAATTAGCGTAAGTCATGTGATCATAATTATTTTCGTATTTCTCGGGATTTATTATTACACATAGCAATGAAAACGAAAGTAAATTTCCGGTAAAAATATTGAGTAGAAGCATGTTTTCAGCTTCTTTTTGATAGCTTAGGGATAATTCTGATGATTACAAGACTCAGCAAGTGTTATCAGACGCATTCCTCGGACGCACGGTTCATGCAATGGCGCGTCCAGACAGAAAACCATGCGTCCATGGCGCGAATAAGTCGCCATAACGAGAACATTGTTAGTATGAAAAAACGCATTTCGTCTCCATATGACACATCAGTGGTGCATGAACAGTTGGAACAATAGATGGCCAAATCAATTATGTAGTTGACAAGCACTGAAAACCAAAAGTTCTATTAAGGGACAACTAATGTCGTAATGACCAGATTTAAGTAAATTATAAAATTAAACAAAAAACAAGTATTATTTTAGTTTTCTAAGAGTGTTTTTTTCTTCATTTTAGTTAATGTATGAACATATTTATTCGTTTTGACGTTCAAATGTAGCTTGCCACTGTCTTTGTTTTTGATCTAATTGTTCTTATGCCAATTATTGGCGCAAGAACAATAGATTATCTTGTGTCAAAGTACTCCTGTGAGGAATAACTCTTTGGTCATCATTTATGTATTAATATATTGAATAAACTACAATGTTTATGAATATGAATCACAGATTACAATAATATATAACAAAATAAAAATTAATTATTCAAAAGCGTCTCATTTTATTTTTGAGTGAAAATATAGGTCTGGCAAAAATTTGATGGGTCTGGCAAAACTAACTACCCTGTAGGCCCCAATGTCTGACAGAAAAAAAAAATTGTTTGCATCTCTGATTAAAGGGCAATAATTCTAATGAGGACAGTCGACAGTACTAGTAGTTTCAGAGGAGAAGATTTCTGTAAAAGTTAAAACAGACGAAGGTCGCCAAGTGATGAGAAAAGCTCACTTTGCCTTTTGGCCAGGTGAGCTAACAATGTCTAGGCTGTATAAATTATCAGATTCACAAAATAACTCACCTTGAAAAGTTTTGTTGCTAATCTATATACAAAAATTTCAGGGGAGACAAAATTTTACATTCAAGTCAAGATGGATTACTTTATTTACGAATGTAGCTGAGAAAGTCAATCCCTTTTGGCATAATGTCCTAATTACTTTTTCAAAGTTGCAAAATAAGTTGAAAGTTGAAAACAATACTGATCATGCTGATATTCTGGTCCTTTCCATATGGCTGAACCCAAATATCAAATCAGATTGCAACTTGTAAGATGATTTTGAAGTTCAAATATATTGAAAATTGTGTATTCTTTATTAATGATCTGGTGTCAGATAATAATATGAGGTAGGTGTTACCTGTGAAAGGGGACGGAGTCTGTGTAAATTATTTTTTATATTCAAACATATTTTAACTCCAGAATCTGTTGAAAAAGAAACGGAAATGCAGAAAAGTTTCTCATGTTGGTCCTGTTGTTAGGGATTTTAATTGTGACGTCATTTTCAATGTAAACAAAGAAATGCTATCATCAGGTAACGTTTTTTTTTATATCAAAGAATACTTGTTTTTTGCTCCTTCCTATATTCTACTCAAAGTCTCGTGATGAACGAACGAGAGACTGGAAGAAAGAAAGAGATTTCAGCGCAGATGCGGGAAACTAAAGTCTGAAAAAAAAAAGTTAACGATTTTGAGTTCATTAGACATTAGTAGTTTTTTTTTTTTTTTTTTTTTTTTCTACCTAATTGGGGACTTTGTCCCCATAATATGTTATTTTCATATGAAGAAACTTTTAAAATGTATAATATCAATACTAATTTTGTTGAGTTTTAATATAAGTGCAAATTATTCCAATGCATTTTTGTAAAATAGCAGCACCTGTTTTGAACGAAGTTGGCTTGCTTTTGGTGGTCTTTTACCAATGTAAGTTACTTCACTCCAATCAGCCTCTGCCATTCTTCAGTTGTTGTGTGTATTATTTGGTATAAAAATGAAGTGTATAAGGGTGTCTTAAACTGTTTCAACGCGTCACTAACAAACTGTTGTGAAAGAAAATGTGATTGCAAATATGGCGTGGAATCCTTTTGGTGTTTGTCGTAAAAAACAAATATTATTTCTATTTCTATTTCATTTTGAATACAATTCATTGTGCTTATATTTGATTGTTTTTAAATCCAACAAATGGAATTAATTACTTATATAACATACACACTAATTTTAATTAATTTTTACGACTTCCGGAAATAGCTCTGAAAATCCACAGAAAAGAAAAAAAATTGTCATCGACTCAATCAAAAATCACACACAGTTTTCATACAGACATCCTTTAAATGTAATGAGGTTATTTCAAATAATTTACCAAATTTCAGAACCTTGCGATAGACATTTTAGGTTACTACGTCTATCTTACAACACGAAAGTGAAACCAAAATACATTAGCTTGTGTGGGCCATAATTTTATACTGAATGTATTGCAATAATTTATACATTGTGACTTTGTCCATACAAATCAGGTTGCCAAAGTGTTTATCAGTACATGAGATGTTCTTTCATGTTTACATATAAACTTCTTGAATTAATGCAAGTTAAAATTAGATACGCATAACATGCATAAGGCAGGGAAGCAAAAATACAGTACCATTTAAACGGATCGATTCGAGATCGTTTTTTTTCTGATTTCCGTGTTTTTCGGAGTCACACCGCGTACCACGGATTATACTCCCAATTTCCTCCAAAGACCCCCCGGTGGATCGCTATCCTTGCCGTGGTCGGGGGGCTTGCGTGTCTCAGTGACCCCAAGAGCTATGACAGTTGGAGCTTCGTCTCCTGGTAGGGTTACCCATGCTGGACAGGTCGAAGGGTAGAGACCAGACTAAAGTGATCCGAACATCGTACGAGTTGCCCGATGTTTTGAATAAAATAGGCTCTCCAACCCGTTGGCCGTGGGTTGCTACCCGTGTCGGTGGTTGACGAGATCCTTGCAGATGAGGGCTGTAGCCAGACTCCCTACGGTCAGAAAATACCCGGACGGACGAGACTATAGTTCAATAAGCTGCTTTGGCTCGAATATCATCTAAACGGGAGGTCGGATGGACCCGGTTCGATCAATCGGCTGGTCATGTCGAGCCCTTCAGTTAATCCTCAACAATAAGCTTTCTTGTAACAATTTTCATTATATACACATGTGTTTTAAATTAAGCTATTTATATTTCGGATAACTGAAGAAGGCGATGGCTCATGGGTCAATCAAGTGGTACGCTTTCTATTTCGCTTGATGGATACGCTCTGCTTGAGTATACTATTCTTGGAACATCTGGTGCTTTCCGCAGTGGATCTTGGGTGCTAATTTTGGGGACCAGCTACGTTATACATGTTATACTTGGAGCTCGTTTTCAGCATTAGCACTTGACCCCGGCTCGCCACGGAAACACAGCATCGCCCTTGTAGGCACTCCGAGGTGGGTGGATGACAAGAATGGTGAATCTTTCTCATTTCCTATGGCACAACAAAACCAACCCTCTAAATCAGCTTTAATACATAAAAAAAGAAAATGTGATGATTCAGTGCCCTGTCAGGAAGATGACAGTTGGCCCAGATTTATTGTAATAAAAGGAACAGATGAAAAACCAATTTCTAAAATATCTCCCTTTGTGATTCACAAACAAATTCAAAGCGTTGCTGGTACTGTAAAAAAAGTTTCAAAAATGAGATCAGGCAATTTGTTGGTTGAATGTTCCAACAAAAGTCAATCAACAAATTTGCTTACACTGACAACAATTACAAACTTTCCTGTTTCTGCCTCTCCTCACAACAGTTTGAACAGCTGTAAGGGGATCATTCGAGACAGAAGTCAATACCTTGGTGACCTTACCGTGGAAGAAATCTGTGAGGAACTTTCAAGCCAAGGTGTAACTGATGTTGTTAGATTTCAAATAAAAAAGAATGGAAATATACCTAATCAAATTAAATACATATCTTTTGACATTTAGAACTCCAACTCCTCCTCCATCTATTACTTTAGGTTGCTTCGGAATCAGAGTTGACAGGTTTATCCCTAACCCAATTCGATGCTTCACTTGTCAAAAGTTTGGTCATGGAAGCAAACAATGTCGTGGTACGCAGAGATGCTTCAAGTGTTCTGACGAAGGACACGAGGGAACAACATGTAGCTCTGAATCTTCTAAATGCGTAAACTGTGGTGAATCCCATTTTTCATCATCTAGGGACTGCCCTGTTTACCTTAAAGAAAAAAATATTATCAAAATTAAAACAGAAAGAAACATCAGTTACCCAGAAGCTAAACAGATAGCTTCTGTTTCGAATGATCTCCTTGTTTCGAACAGACCATCGTACGCCAGCAAAGTTGTCCGCTCATTCAGTCACGAGCATACACAAACTCGCATGACCTGGCCAATTGATGCTGAGACATTTACAATGCTGCCTGTTGAAACAGAACCTAACGATAAAATATTAATTCCAAGAAAACCAACACCTTCTAAAACCAGTACTCAGTCAACTCAATCTTCCTTACAGAGCTCAATGTCATCATCTAAAAAAAATGAAAAAAAGAAATCAAATAAAAAAGATACAGTTAAATCAGACAGTTGGGGCAGTGAATCTGTCTGGGATCTTCCCAGTGACATAGATGATTCTTCCATCTCCAATAGTCCTCCTTCATCTGCATCTAATAAAACTAGTTTATCTTCTGCATCCAGTACAAAGTCTTCTAAAGCCCCGTCTCCTCTTCGTTCTCCAGAACAGAAGGATGTCCAAAAGAAGCCAGCAAATACATCCTCTCAGAAGTCTTCTGATTCGAGGTCGCGGGGTAGGGGTCGAGGTGGAGTGAAACAAGCTGGGCATGGTCCTGGAGATCGACGACTCTCCTCACACAACAGATTTTCAACACTTAACGACGAATCAGAAATGGAAATCGAAAGTGTTCCGCCACCCGAAAGATTACAATCACAGGGTGAGCGAAATAAGAATGCTGGCAAACTCGATAGCATTCGCCCGTCTAATAACAAATCATGACTAATATCATCCAATGGAATTGCCGAGGTCTTAAAATAAATCTTCTCGAGTTCAAGCTATACAAAATACTAAAATTAAAAACCCAACAATTCTCAAAATTTTATATGTAATGAGGAATTTAAAAATTCTTCTTAAAGAATTATTATTTCTATGGGTGCCGAGTCATGTTGGAATCCTTGGAAACACAGCTGTAGACCTTGAGGCAAAGAATGCCCTGGGTGACCCTTTATCTAACTGTGATATACCATATACCGATTTTAAATCTAATATTAGAGAATATGTTTTTAATATATTGAAAAATGAATGGAGTAAAAAAGATGGTAATAAATTACATGAAATTAAACCTAATTTATGTAAACATTTCAATATAATTTTATGTGCAGAAAAGATCAGTGTGTTATTTCTAGATGTCGTATTGGTCATACTAGAATAACACACGAATATCTTTTAAAAAATGAAGTAGAACCACAATGTATACCTTGTAACTGCAAGTATACTATTAAACATGTTTTAATCAATTGTATTGACTTTGCTGATATTCGCAAGAAGCATTTCAATGTCAATAATATGTATGATTTATTTAATAATGTTTCATTTACAAATATTGTTTCATTTTTAAAAGAAGTTGGAATATATTCTAAAATATAAAAATGTTATTATATTTAAAACGATTTTAAATTTTATCACGTTATCTTAATGTTCATTTTTATTTGTAAATAATCAATTTGCTTTAATCTAGAATTTTAGTTTATTGAAGGACCTTTTGTCTGATTTTAAGAATATGCTTTAAATTGTAAAAAATATTCGAATTAGCTCTCGCCGCGATATAGCCTTGTTGTGCTAATGCGGCGTAAAGCAACCAACAATCAATCAATCAATCCTCCAAAGATTCTGTCCCAACAACGCGTGGCTGTTAATTGGTTTATTGCCCATCGGATGTCCTAAAAATTAACGACGCATGGTAAACATAATCGGATAAGCCAGATTATTTACCTATGTACATTTAATCGATCTTGATTGCACCTGTGTGCTTTAAAAACACGGTATTAAAATTTTAACAAATGTTTTCCTTTCTTTGACAGATGAAGATGTGACATTATCATTCAGCATAAGATAATTATTCGTATATGTTTTTGCCCCATGTCATTGTCATTTGAAATAAAACGTACAAACGAATAAAAATATGAAGAAAAAACTTATTTTGTATTTCTATTATCATGATTATAGTCCGGTCAGGTCATACTTTGTGTTCTTTCAACAAAGACGATTTTACCCCAATTAGAATCTTTTATAACTTATCAGTAAGCAATTTCCGGTGCATATTTATTTTGCAATGTAAAATATTATGTTTCACTACCTCGGTACATGACCGACTTGAATTTTTTGAATTCCGAAAAGAAACTGTAAAGTGACAACTCTGTTGAACAAAGGGAATAAGTTTTGTTAAGAGAAATTCCCCGCCCAGGCAAAACACAACATTCACAACTTAATTAATTATATGGAAAAAAATCATGCGTTTATCTCTGTTATTGATCTTTAATTATTTAAAATAAAATTGGATGAGCTCAATCCGTTTTTTACTGCTCGTTAAAAGTCCTTGGCGAAATGAAAAAAATGAATTATTTCAACAATTCCTTTAGAAAAAAATCAAATATATATACGAAAAATATTAAAATGAAATTATATCATGTACCCAGATGCTACAAGAAAAAAATATGTGAAAAAATAAGTGGACAGGATTTTTAACGATCTACACATTTTTACGGAGGATCTCTACCAACGCCCAACTTAACGACATGCATCGTGTTTTCATCTACAATAAATTTATATTGTTGACCATGGACGTATAACTTATGTTCAGGTCTACATCCTGTTTTGACTGATAAAACATAAAAAAATAAAATAGTTAAAGAAGACGTGTGTTCGTTTATTCGGAAAAGGATTATATTTTAGAATCTGGTTAATCAATTGTAAAAGGACCTTCTAGAGCCTCAATACTAGCGCACAAAAATGTCAATCATTAATACATAGCAACTATAAAAACCCAAATGAATTTTCCCACGGTCGTTCAGAGAGGTCACCTGAGTTTACTGGTACGTGATATTATTTCCCTCCATATAAAATCTCGTGCTGTTGAATAAAATTGATCTCAGCTTTTTTTAGCATTTAATATTGTGAGCGAAGTCAAGTTCAAGTTCAACCACACACTGTTGATCACTGAGATGTGTATCTTGGAATTGTCTTCCCACGGCAAATTAATTTCTTTTAAAATCTTTTAAGATCACTGTCCAAAATACATGT